ACTCACTCTCACCTTGACTCTGACTCTCTCATTCTGACACCACCTTTATTCAATACCTGAATCTCACCTTTGTTACTCACTCTTACCTTGTGTCTGACTGTGACACTCACCCTGACTTTGATCCTGATACTCATTTAAACACTCTGTCTCATTCTCACCCTGACTCTGATTCTGTACCTGACCCTGACTCTCACTCTCACCTTTACCTTCAATTTCATCTTTACCCTGCCCCTGCCCCTAACATTGATGCTAATCCTACACCAGCACTGAACTTGACCCTCACCCTGGCCCTGAATCTCAGCCTCACCACGACTCTCATCATGACCATAAACTTGACCCTTACCTGACCCTGACCCTGACTCTTGTACTCACTCTCCATTTACCCTGACTTGACCATTACCTTCTCCCTGAGCCTGACCTCACTCTGACTCTTCAATGGCCCTTACACATACCTTCACTATGCCCTTGACACTGCCTTGAATCTGAAACTTATGCTTAACCTGAACCAGACTATCACCCTGACACTACCCTTCCCTCACCCTGGCCCGGGTTGGCACCACACCCTCATCCTGACCCTGATCCCGGTGCTGAAACTGACCTTGACCTCTTCCTGATCATGACTCTGAACATTTGCTTCACACCCCTGACTGTTCTTCCTGACTCTGACACTAACCCCCCTTCTGACCCTCACAATGATGCTCAATCTGACCTTGAGCGTGACCCTTACCTTCATCGAGACCCAGAAATTAGCATTGGCCTCACCCTGAACCTGACACTGATCTTTACCTTTAAATTTACCTGATTCTGACCTCTCTCCCTTTGCCTCCTGACCAACTGTGGTGCTTCTCCATGTGGCCTATGTGGCATGACATGCCCCTCCTCTTGGGAGCTGTCACAAACTATCTTTTCAATGATAACTGTCTACTGATCTGTTGGCCTCCCCATATTTAAATAATAATAAAACCTACATTTAAAAACATGCTCATCCTCACCCTCTACATGACCATCTCCCCAAATAGATTCTGATGTCCTTGTTCCCCTGAGCCTTACCTGAAATTGACCCTCAAGCTGACTTTGACCTTACCCTGAGCCTGACCCTGGTGATCTTCCCACACCTTAATCCTGATTCTGAAGCTGACCCTGCCCCAGACACTATTGTCGTATTAACTCTGAACTTTTACTGACCCTCACTCTGACCCTGACCCTGAACCTAGCCTTTACTTTTACCATAAGCCTGATGCTCACTCCATACTTATCCGGACCCTGGTCCTCACCCTGCCCTCAGCCTTGTCTATTCCTTGATATGACCCTCACTCTGAGGCTGACCCTGAACTTAACACTTATCTTGCCGTTGACCCTGACATTGACCCTTGCCATAACCCTCATCTTGACCCTCACCCTGACCATAAATTTGATTTACTTACCCTCATGCTGAATCTGAACCTAGGGTGACTTTTGACTTAGATTCTCACCCTGACACCAAACGTGATACAGAGCTAATTCTGTCCCTGACACCGAGCATGACCTTCACCCTGAAGCTTACCCTAACTCTGACACTGATGCAATGTGGTCACCAATTTTGCTTATCATCATCACCCTAACCTGGAACCTGTCCCTCATGCTGACCTTGATCATCACTCAACCTGACTCTGATATCAACCTCACCTTGACCTACAACCTATCCTAATGCTAATCCCTCACTCTGACCCTTGCCCTCACTTCATTGCTAACCTTCACACTGACATTTAACCTGACTCTGACCTCATCCCAAAGTTCTCCTGAACCATGACCCTGACCCTGAACCTCATTCTCACACCCATCTTGACCCTAATTCTCACCTTGACTCTCACCCTGACACTATAACTGATGCTGAACCTCATCCTCATTCTGACCTTTACTTGATCCTCACACTCAGCTTACCATGATCCTGATCATGACTCTCAACCTTAATCTAACTCTGACCATCACCCTGACTTTGACCTTACCGCACCCTGTCCCTGTGACTCTCACCTTAACTCCCATCCTGACTCTGACCTTCAAGCTGACCCTGACCCTTGCACAGACTATGACTCTGAACCTAACATTGACGATGACTGGGATCCTGGTGCTCAGCCTGACTCTGGCCCTGGTGCTCACACAAATACGGATTCTGATTTTCACCCTCAAAATGACTCTGAACTGGTCCCACACACTGTCTCTGACCCTGATCATGACCATCACACTGACCCGGACCCTTATGATGTTGACAATCAACCTGACCCTGACTGTGACCCTGACCCTGATCCTGAACCAAACCCTCACTCTACAGTGAATCTCATCGTTATCTTGACCTTCACTTAATGCTTACCCTGACCCTGAGACTCACAGCCACCCTAATCTTGACCATGACCCTTACCCTTAGCTCTGTTCTAACACTACCCAGACCCTGATAATCATCAAGACCAAGATATCCCTCAGCAGGTGAATGGATAAATAAACTATTATATCCATACAATGGAATATTGTTTGGTGGTTTAAAGAAAATGAGCTGTCAAACCATGAAAATACATGGCAGAACCTTAAATATATATTGCTAAGTGAAAGAAGCCAATCTGAAAAGGCTACATACTGCATGAGTCTAATTATGTGACGTTCTGGGAAAGGTAAAACTATAGAGACAGTAGAAAGGTCCGTGGTTGTCAGGAAGGAAATGAGAGTCAAAGAGGGTTAACTAGATGAAGCACAGGGGATATTTTTTTAGGGTGATAAACCTATTCTGTATGCTACTGTTATGATGAAGACATTATGCATTTTTTGAAAATTCATAGAACTTTACAACATGAAGAGTGAAACTTAAGTATGCAAATTTAAAGAAAAATAATTTGGCTATGTTTGAAGGATCCCAGGAGGGAATGCAGAATGTGACATGAGAGTCAAACTATTACAAATGTACAAGACAACCTCACTGTAGGGATGGGGGAATGAATTGTACTAACGTAAGTGACTTTGGAAATGATGGAATTGATAAGGCTGAGCCAGAAGTAACTGCACACAAACACTGTGCTCTAGCTGATAAAGTTATTTCTCACAGATGTACTAGTTAATAATTCTGATACTGCTGTACATACACGTTAGAATTGAACAATGAAGTAAATAGACTGTGGATGATGGGAGCTGGGTTTCTCAATGTTGGAGTGGGAATTTAGGGATAAGCAAGGGGGAAAGTTAGAATAATCTATGTAGTTGCTTAGAGTTAGAAATATCAGCAGGGATAGACTTGTAGGAGTGATATCAGCACATGGCCAGTGGGGTAAGTTGCTCCTCTTTTCCCTCCCACTTTTTAAACAACTAATTAGACATCCATAACTGAACAAAAGCGCCTCTGCACATTACATCAAGGAAGCCAGGAGGTTTCTAGCCCACCTGTGTACCTGAAAATAAACAAACAGGACCTCAGTAAGGGCTGTAGGTCCAAGGGAGTCAGCAAACCTGCTCCACCCCCACTAGTCACAGCGGGGCAGGGGATGGAGGGGAGGAGAGCCTGGAGATTGCCAAACTGGGAAGAGACCAAGAGACCCTCTAGAGAGAGAGAATTTGTGGAAGTCCAGCCTGCCTGAGGGGGATTTTAGCATGCCATTGGAACAAGGTGAGGATGAGTTTGGAGGGGAGAGGGAGAAACTCGCCAAGGTGGCCCATCTCCCCAGGGTGACACTAACAAGGGACTGAGCTTTTGGCAGCAGTGGTGGTGACTCCTCCAACAGAGGAGGTGGAAAGCCATGACCCCTCCCATGGAGCTGGTGGAAAGCGGAAGTGATGAGTGACTGGCCTACTATCCCAGTTATGCGAATTGCAACTGGAGAAACCCATTTCTCTCCAGCAGCAACCGGATTCCTGAGGAGGGACCTCCGTGACTGAGGGGAGAGAGGAAGAAGGGAAGGAAAGAGATAAGAATATCAAGGGGCATTAAAGGTTCGTTTCCTGCTATCTGCTTCAGGACTTCAGCAGGAAGTCTGCCCACAAACCTGCTGGAGAACCTCACTCGAGGAGACACCCACCAACTGTGGGCACTCCAAGAACCCCAAGTGCTAAACCCATACCTCCTTCTACTCTGCTATCGCCTCCCAAGTGCATCTGCCAGAGTGAGCCCTAGTTGACACAGAGGGTGCTCAGATAACAGGCCAAGGTTGGGGGGGGGGGGGGGAGTGCAAGGGAGAAAATACAAACTTGAGCTATAGCACCACCTTCTGGAGTACAAAAGAAAGGATTCTAATAGCCGGCCTGGTGAATTGTAAGAGCCAAAGAAGACATAAAAGCTTACTTAGTTAAGGTTTCTGCTACTTCTAATGTGAAAGCAGAAGTGTGTACCTATAAACACTATTTTAAAATCAAAAAAGGGCTTCTCTGGTGGCGCAGTGGTTGAGAGTCCGCCTGCCGATGCAGGGGACATGGGTTCGTGCCCTGGTCTGGGAAGATCCCACATGCCGCGGAGTGGCTGGGCCCATGAGCCATGGCCGCTGGGCCTGCGCGTCCGGAGCCTGTGCTCCGCAGTGGGAGAGGCCACAACAGTGAGAGGCCCGCGTCCTGAAAAAAAAAAAAAAAAAAAATCAAAGAAATATGATGGACCTAGAGATTATCATACTAAGTGAAGTAAGTCAGACAGAGAAAGACAAGTATTATGATATCACTTATATGTGGAATCTAAAAAATAGTACAAGTGAACTTATTTACAAAACAGAAACAGGCTCACAGACATAGAAAACAAACTTACGGTTACCCAAGGGGATGCAGGGGGAGGGATAAATTGGGAGTATGGGATTAACAGATGCACACTACCATATATAAAATAGATAAACAACAGGGCTTCCCTGGTGGTGCAGTGGTTGAGAGTCCGCCTGTCAGTGCGGGGGACATGGGTTCGTGCCCCGGCCCGGGAAGATCCCACATGCCGCGGAGCGGCTGGGCCCGTGAGCCATGGCCGCTGAGCCTGCGCGTCCGGAACCTGTGCTCTGCAAGGGGTGAGGCCACAGCAGTGAGAGGCCCGCGTACCGCAAAAAAAAAAAAAAAAAAAGATAAACAACAAAGTTTTACTGCATAGCACATACAGTATACTGAACTATATTCAATATCTTGTAACAACCTATAATGGAAAAGAATTTTAAAAGAATATAGATATCTACATATGTATAACCGAATCAATTTGCTATATACCTGAAACTAACAAAAAATCAAGGAAATAGGCCATCATAAAAAGAAAATGATAATTTTCCAGCAGCTGAACACAAAGGCATGGAATATTGCAATCTAACTGATCAAGAATCCAAAATCTCTGTTACGAAGACATTCAGTGAGCGACAAGAAAACTCAGAAGGACAATTCAATGAACACAGGAATAAAATTAATGAACAGAAAGAGTTCTTTACAAAAGAAATTGAAATTATTAAAAACTTGGATAAATGTATTTGATAATCATTATGCCAGTGAATCTGGTAGACAGTGTGGACATGGGCTTGAATAAGAGAATAGAATCTTTTTTTTTTTTTTTTTTTTTTTTTTGAGAATAGAATCTTAACGAGGAAAATCAAACCCTATGACCATGAGACACTAGCATTTCAAAGTCTATGTTTTCAGGGAGAACAAATAAGTCAGTGATATACAATGAATATTGGGCATAAAAGTGAAAAAGTGTAGTCTCAGATTTTTCTGTGTTATAAAATTATATAAATTGTCTTGGTTGCCAAGTTTAGTTTCTCCATAGGAGTTGTGTAACTCATGGCTATTCTTTTAGTAAAATCAAACAAAAATTAGTGTGATCTACATCACTTGAGAATAAATTATTTTTAAGAAATCTAAGTAGTCCCATGAAATAAATGAGAATTGCCAAATATTTTAAGTCCAAGGTTGGGAATAAATTTGAGAGAATATGAGAATGACAAAGGGGAAATAACCCTGTTCATTGTCAGGGCAGGAAGCTTAATAAAGTGAGCTGTATAAATTGTAGAGAGAAGTTGAAATCAAAGAAATAGAAACTCTAGCAATAAAAAAGTAGCAAGTCCTACTTCCACACTCTGATAAAATAATTGGAAATTCTGGCTCACAGGCTTTGATCCTTGCAATCATGCGTACTTCTTCAGCCCTAGGACAACTGGTCTTTTATAGTTTCCTTCCCAAAGAGTCTTTTCAAAGCTGTTTGTATATGTCTTTGTTCTTCAAACTGTAGATGAAGGGGTTCAGCATGGACATGACCACAGTTTACATCACCAAGGCTGTTGCACTTGAATGTGAGCTGTGTGGAGAAGCAGAGCTTAAGTACATTCATAGACACAGTAACAAAAGGAGACAACTGAGAGGTAAGATGAACAGATGGACAAGGCTTTATGCTTTCCCTGAAATGATGAGATTCCGTGTATGGAGGAAACTCTTTTAGAATATAAGTAAAGAACATCAGCCACGGGAACACCGCCCAGCAGTGCAGCTGCAAAATGTATCATCACGTTATTAAGAAAGTTGACAGAACAAGCAAGTTGACCACTTGACTGAGCTACAGAAAAAGTGGGGATATCCAAGTCTGCATAGAAGGACAGCCCCAACATTACCAAGCTCTGTAGCAAGGAATTCATGGCACTCATGACCCAGGACACAAGAACCATCAGTCCCCAGAGCTGGAGGTTCATGGTGATGGTGTAGCGTAGCGGGTGAGAGATGGTTACAAAGTGCTCATAGGCCACCACAACCAGGAGAAAGTTGTCCAATCCTGCAAACAGTGGGAAACAATATATCTTCCTGCTGCAGATTTCAAGGGTTATAACTTTGCTGCGTGTCTGGATGTTCTGCATCATCTTTGGGATCCTGGTGGAGGTGAAACAGAAATGTGCAAAGGACACGTTGAAGAAGGACAGGTTGGTTGGGTGTGTGGAGGTGGAAGTCTAAGCTGATGGCCAGGATGATGAGCAGGTTTTCAGACACAGTGATCATGTACATGGAGAGGAAAAGCCAAAATGTGAGGGGCTGGAATTCTGGTTACTCTAAAAATCATAGAAGAAATTCTACAATTCCTGTAAGGTTCCCTGGTTCCATGTAGTGTAAGTGACTATGAGAAGTGAGAAAAACATCAGTAACATGTTTAATTTTCACCTACATTTATATTTTGCAGTCAAGAAATTGATTAATTTCAACAAATTGTCTACGGATCTTGTCCCCTCTCTAGGATTCCTTGTACCATCTCTGTTTATGAATTTTTGTCCTACTTTCAGCTTTTTCCCAAGATGTTAGGTGTCTTACAATTTTTATGTGAAATTCTTTCATGCATTTCATGCATTTGAGGAATATTAATTGAGTGATAACTCAATTTTCCAATAACTATCTAAGCCATGAATATAGGGCACTGAAAAACAAAACTCTCTACAATCCAATGATAGAGAAAGAATATAAGAAAATAAAAAATCATGTAACATGTCAAATGGTGAGCAGCGCTGTGATGAAAAATAATCAGTCATAAAGGAGACAGTAGGCAGGGAGTGTGATTTTTTTTACTGAGTGTTTAGGTAACACCGGCAAACAAGGTGACATTTGAACACAGATTGCAAGGAAGACAGGGTTGGACCCAGGAAGTTATCTGAAGTGTGTGCCTAAGTGCAGGAATGGCCAGTGCAATTGCTCCAAGAAACGTGCTTGTTTCAGAAAAATCAAGGCTCCAAAGGAACCAGGTATGTCAGAGAGGTATGAGCAAGAAGGAGCATGATAGAAACAGTGTCAGAAAAATTTGAGGAACCAGGTGGTTTCCCTGCTGCTGCTGAAGCTAAGCTAGACAAGGTCCCTCATCCACTCCATGTTCCTCTTCCACATTATTAATTTTGTTGCAAGGACATCCTCTAAATTGATTGCCTCCTTAGTACCATCTGTTAGTTTATTTCTGGTCTCTGTAATGTAAAAGTCACCTTGAAATTATGAGGCCACGTACCCTGCCTTTAGGAATGTTCTCACTTCACAAGGTACACAAACACCCAAACACACACATACACACACACACACACACACAGATTGGACCATGGTCTCCTAGGCTGTTGCTACCATACCTTTCCCATTCCCAGCCTCACTGATTAGGCTAGGAGTAAATACAACTCACATCAGCCACAGATATTATCTTGTCTCTAAAGAATGTAGAAATGGTACCCAGAATTCCCAATTTAAAAGCATCTTATGACAAATAAATCTGGGCCTCCATATTAGTATGGCCATTTTCTGTCATGTACTAAAATTACATAACTAAATATATATATATAACAGCTTATAGTTATAATGATGGATATCATTATCATAATTATATCATTATCAATTTGATGTTTCTCGGTGGGGACAGGTGGTAGAAATTCTTTTTTTTTTTTTTTTTTTGCGGTACGCGGGCCTCTCACTGCTGTGGCCTCTCCGGTTGTGGAGCACAGGCTCCGGACGCGCAGGCTCAGCGGCCATGGCTCACGGGCCCAGCCGCTCCGCAGCACGCGGCATCCTCCCAGACCGGGGCATGAACCCGCGTCCCCTGCATCGGCAGGCGGACTCTCAACCACTGCGCCACCAGGGAAGCCCACCATTAATTATTTACGTGTTCAAATATTCCACTCTTGCCACATCTATTCAACATAGTATTGGAAGTCCTAGCCAGAGCAGTCAGGCAACAAAAAGTAATAAAAGGCATCCAAATTGAAAAGGAAGAAGTAAAACTGTCACTATTTGCATATGAAATGGTATTATATATAAAAAAACCCTAAAGACTCCACCAAAACCTGTTAAAACTAATAAATGAATTCAGTAAAGTTGTGGGATACAAAATCAATATACAGAAATCTGTTGCTTTTCTATACACTAATAACATATGAGAAAGAGAAATTCAGAAAACAATTCTATTTACATTTCATCAAAAAGGTAACATACCCAGAAATAAATTTATTCAAGGAGGTAAAAGGCCTTTACACTAAAAACTTTAAGACATTGATATAGAAATTGAAAAAGATACAAATAAATGGAAAGAAATTCCGTCCTCATGGATTGGAAGACTTAGCATTGTTTAAATATCCATACTAGCAAAAGCAATCTACAGATTTAATGCAATCTCTATCAAAATTCCAATGGTATTTTTCACAGAAATTGAGCTAAGAATCCTAAAATTTGTATGGAAACACAAAAGATCCCAAATAGTCAAAGCGATCTGAAGTAAGATAAAGAAAGCTGGAGACATCACACTCCCTGATTTCACACTATATTACAAACTATATTACAAAACAGTATGGTACGGGCATAAAAACAGGCACATAGATCAATGAAATGGAATAGAAATCCCTGAAATAAACCCATGCATATATGTCAATTAACTTATGACAAAGGAGCCAAGAATATACAATGGGGAAAGGGCAGTTTCTTCAATAAATCATGTTGGGAAAATTGGACAGCCAGGACTTCCCCCGTAGTACAGTGGTTAAGAATCTGCCTGCCAATGCAGGGGACACGGGTTCTATCCCTGGTCCGGGAAGATCCCACATGCTGGGGAACAACTAAGCCCGTGTGCCACAACTACTGAGCCTGTGCTCTAGAGCCTGTGAGCCACAACTACTGAGCCCATGTGCCACAACTACTGAAGCACATGACTAGAGCCTGTGCTCCACAACAAGAGAAGCCACCGCAATGAGAAGCCCACACACCGCAACAAAGAGCAGCCCCCGCTAGCCACAACTAGAGAAAGACCACGCACAGCAACGAAGACCCAACGCAGCCCAAAATATATTAATTAATTAATTAATTTAAAAAATTGGACAGCCATATGCAAAAGAATGAACCTGGACACCTACCTTACACAATACACCAATCCCACTCAAAATGGATAAAGACTTGAATGTAAGACCTGAAACCAAAGAACTCCTAGGAGGAAACAAAGGCAGTAAGCTCTTTGACATCAGTCGTGGTGGTGATTTTTTGGATTTGACACCAAAAGAAACGTAACAAAAGCAAAAATAAACAAGTGGGCCAACATCAAACTAAAAGGTTTCTGCACAGCAAAGGAAACCATCAACAAAATGAAAGACATCCTACTGAATGGATGAAAATATTTGCAAATTGTGTATCTGATAAAGGGCTAATATCCAAAATACATAAAGAACTCATACAACTCCATATTAAAAACAAAAGAAAACAAAAAACCAATCCTATTAAGAAATGGACAGAGAAACTGAATTGACAGTTTTCCAAAGAAAACATACAAATGGCCAACAAGCACATGAAAAAGTGCTCAATATCACTAATCATAAGGGAAATGCAAATCAAAATCACAATGAGATATCACTTCATGCCTGTGAAAATGTCTGTCATCCCAAAGAGAAGAGATAACAAGTGTTAGTGAAGATGGAACTCTTGTGTATTGTTGCTGGGAATGGAGGTTTGTATAGCTACTATGGAGAAAAAAATATGGATGTTTCTCAAAAAATTAAAATTAGAATGACCATGTGACCCAGCAACCATACTTCTGGGTATATATTCCCATGTTAGTTGCAGCATTATTCACGATAGCAAGATATAAATACAACTTCAGGGTATGTCAATTGATGAATGAATAAAGAAGTGTGGAATACTATTCAACCACAAGAAAGAAGGAAATCCTGCCATTTGCAACAATTTGGATGAAACTTGAGGACATTATGCTAAGTGAAATAAGTCAGACAGAAAGGTAAATACTTTATGACATCACTTATATGTGGAATCTAAAAATGCCAAATTCAAGAAACAGAGAATGGTGGTTACCAGAAGCCAGGGTTGGAGAAAATGGGGAATTATCAGTCAAAGGGTACAAACTTTTAACTATAAAGTTAACAAGTTTTGTACAGTAATCTAATGTACAGCATGGTGATTATAGTTGATAATACCATATTATATACTTGAATGTTGCTAAGAAAATAGGTCTTAAATGTTCTCATCACAAAGAAATGGTAACTACCTGACAGTAAGAAGGTGTGTTAGCTAATGCTATGTTGGTAATAATTTTGCAATATATAAATGTATCAAATCAACATATTGTACATCTTAAACTTATACAATGTTCTATGTCAATTATATCTCAATAAAACTGGAAACAAATGACAGATTGAACTGTATCTATTTCTAACATTGAGAATGAGATAATGAAGCCCCCTGTCACCACTTCTACTCAACATTGTACTAAAAGTCATAGTCAATTAAGTAAGGCAAGAAAATAAAAGACATAAAATTTGGAAAAGTAAATGGCTTTCACTCAGATACCAAATAATCATGTAGCTAGGAAATTGAAATAAATCTACAAAAAAAGATATTACAACTTATTAGTGAATTTAACAAGTTTTAGAAGGGTTACAGAATACAAGATAAATGTATAAAAATCATTGGAATATGTATTACTAGCCATGATCAAGTAGAAACTGAAATTTAAAAAATACAATTTAGGGCTTCCCTGGTGGCGCAGTGGTTGAGAATCCGCCTGCCGATGCAGGGGACACGGGTTCGTGCTCCGGTCCGGGAAGATCCCACATGCCTTGTTGCGGCTGGGCCCATGAGCCATGGCCGCTGAGCCTGTGCGTCCGGAGCCTGTGCTCTGCAACGGGAGAGGCCACAACAATGAGAGGCCCGCGTACCGCAAAAAAAAAAAAAAAAAAAAAAAAACAATTTACATTAATATCAAATAAATAATCTAGCAAATAAAAACTCTGAGGAAAAGTAAAGTATACTTATAAGTTTTTAGTAATGCTGACTTATTAAAACTTTCTGTGCTCCATAAATCTGGAACCTCTGTTTAACATGAAAGTGGATCTGAAAGAGAAAAATAATTTTATTCATATATTTAAAAGCTATATAGGAAACAAATACTATTTTATAAAACCATTATTTAATGAGCAAATGTATGCTTTATAAACTACTAAATCATAACTTGTTTTATACCTTTGGAAAAGAAGTGGAAAGAAAAACCATACCGTTTATTTAGGGTGAATCTTTCCTTTCTCTAAAAGAAACTATGGACTATCACATTATTACCTAAAGGGTCCATTCTCAAATGCAACCAAGTGCATTTTATAAATGCACTTTTACAAGGCTAACATTACAGTTTTTTATATGTGTAACAACATTGGTGACTCAAATTTTAATAACATTGGATTATGTTGAGAGAATGAGAAGATGAAAATCCCTTAGCTGTATAATTCACCAGCATGTGGAAAAGCAATAATGTTATACTAATTGTTTATCTTCTAAAAGTCAATGATCTAAATTAAACTATCCATGCATATAATATAGCTAATGTACTATTATTGTTTTCATTTATTCAATGAACAATTACCGCCAGGCACTGTTCTAGGCCTAGGGATGAATTCATAAGTGAACAAAACAAAGATCCTGGTTCTTGTAGAGTTTCCATTAAAAGTTCACATAGTAGACTTCATTCTTCCCCCAAATGATAAAATCATAAGGTGACTTAATAACATATATAAAAATCATTGTGGATATACCTCCCTTTCCCTGTATTTTTCAAAAAAAGAAAATTTCAAGAAGTAAAGGTATTGTAAATCAGATTATATTTTCTCAAATATTTTGAGGCAAAAATCACAATACCCTGATACCCTGAAAAAAATGCTGCCTTTGAAATGAATGCAGTAATAAAATTACAACAGAAGAAAAATTTATTCTTTTAGGGACATAAGAAAAATTCCATGAACTATGCCAGATGTAGCTGGAGTAAATATATACAGACCCTCAACGGTAGTACTTTCATAGAATGAGTCACGGTGAGTCAGCCACACACACAGGTGAACTGACATTGTAAATGTGGAAAATCAGGATATATAGTCAGAAGGAAAATTTTGAAATGGCAAAAAAAAGTCCACTTTATTTGATAACTTTAGTTTTAACATATACCCCAAATATGTGAGGTGTAATATCATCATCCAAATGTTACTCATGGTTTCCCACTGTTTTCTGGCTCTCCCTAACTTTTCAAGATTTATTCCAATATTAGTTTTACAAGGTCTAACATAAAAGCCTAAGAGTTCCAATCAGAAACAATATTTTATTTAATAAAAACTATCAAGAAATTATCAGTAGAATTTGTTAAGGAATATCAGCATAAGAATTAGCCTTTTATAACATAAGATTTTATGCCAACAAATCCCCTACTTCTATTTAGATATGAAATAGTATATATACACTTCGTCCCTGGAGCCACAAGTAGGGCTATGGTAAAAGAATTTCAACAGCTAATCACTTTTCACACTGTGCTATATAATTCTTTGATTTTCTTTCATTTTAGCAAATATTTATTGACTGCTAATTCTGTGCTACTCTTGTTCTAAACACTGAGGACAGAACATTTAACAAGATGGTCAAGGTACCTACTCCCAAGGAGTTCACATTCTAGTTGGAGAAAACATACAATAAGCAAACAGATTTTAAAACTTAGTATAATTTCAATCAGAATTAGTGCTATGAGAAAAATCTCACAGGAGGATGGGATTGAGAGTGATAGGGCTCCATGACACACAGATGGTAAGAGAGGATTATTTCTTACGATCTTTGTCCTTCCTTATACTGGTACACTCCTGAGTCTGCAATGTTCCAGAGGCAGCCTTCATTTTATAAAAATCTATTATTTCTTCTTCCAATTGTCTTCTCTCCTCCTCAAGTTTCATTGTCTCCTCTTGTTGGACCCTCTTAAGATGCTCAAACTTGTCCTGTAGCTGTGAAACAAATCTGCAGTTGTGACTCAAAGCACGCTATGGTGGCACATCCCCAAGTACACATTTCTCTTTTTCTGGTTATCAAACACACCCTAATCATCAGAGTAGCACTTGTTCTTAATAACAGTTTCAAAAATTATCTCTGCTGGAGTCATATTGCTCGTAATTACATTTTCAGACCTGAGAAGTAAATGAGCTTCTAGATACAATGGCGAGAAGAATGATTGCAAAGGCTGGGGATGTGGGAGTGTGGTATTTATAAATGATGGCAAAATCATTGAGAAAACTTTTTACTTAAAGATGGGAGGTTGAAGGTAGAAATCAGAGAAAGCTAAACTTTATCTTAATACATAAACATTTCAAATGTTAACTACTCTGGTGAGAAACTCGAACTTTTCCTGCAAATCAGGTTCAAGGTCAGGATGTCCCCCCTCACTACTCCTTTTCAACATTGTACTGGAAGTCCTTGCTAATGCAATAAAGTAAGAGAAGAAAAATAAAATGTACACAGATTGGGAAGAAAGACATAAAACTGTCATTGTTTGCAGATAACATAATCATCTATGTAGCAAATCCCAAAGAACTGACCAAAAAACTCCTGGAACTAATTAGCGATTATAGCAAGGTTGCAAGATATAAGGTTATTATATAAAGGTTAATTGCTTTCCTATATACCAGCAGTGAGCAAGTGGAATTTGAAGTAAGAAACGCAATAACAATTGCATTAACCCCCCCCAATGAAATACTTAGGTATAAATCTAACAAAATACATATAAGATCCATATGAAGAAAACAACAAAACCCTGATGAAAAAAATTAGAGAAGAACAAAATAAATAACTATTTCATGTTTGTGGACAGGAAGACTCAATATTGTCAAGTTGTCAGGTCTTCCCAACTTGACCTACAGATTCATTGCAATCCTAATCAAAATCCCAGCAAATTATTTTATAGATATTGACAAACTGATTCTAAAGGTTTTATGGCAAAACAAAAGACCGAGAATAACCAAAACAATATTGAAGGAGAAGAATAAACTTGAAGAACTGATGCTACCTGACTTCACTGACTATAGTAATCTGACTAAAACTACAGTAATCACGATAGTGTGATATTGGTGAAAAAAATAGATCAATGCAACAAAATAGAGAACCTAGAAATGGATGCAAATATATTTAGCAAATTGATCTTTGACAAAGGAGCATATGTAGTACGAGGAAAGATACTCTTTTCAACAACTTGTGCTGAAACAACTGAACATTCACATGAAAAAAAAACCCCAAAGAATCTAGACACAAACCTTCACAAAAATTAAACTCAAATGGATCATAAATCTAAATGAGGGGACAGAAAAAATATTCTATGGAAATGAAAAGACAGCTGGTGTAGCAATACTTATATCAGCCAAAATAGGCTTTAAAGCAAAGACGGTAACAAAAGACAAAGAGGGACATTACATAATGATAAAGGGATCAGTTCATCAAGAAGATATAACAATTGTAAATATAGATGCACCCAACATAGGAGCACCCAAATACATAAAGCAACTATTAACAAACTTAAAGGAAGAAATTGACAGTAGCATAATCATACTAAAGGACTTTAACAATGCACTCACATCAATGGACAGATTATCCAGACAGAAAACCAATAAGGAAACGTTGGTCTCAAATCACACACACACACACACACACACACACACACACACACACACACATATATAGAATACTCTGTCCAAGAGCAGCAGAAATATGTATTCTTTTCAAGTACACATGGAACTTTCTCTAGGAACTTTCACAGACCACAAAAGAAGTCTCAATAAATTTAGAAGAGTGAAATCATATCAAGCCTCTTTTCTAACCACAGTACTATGAACTAGAAATCGACTATAAGAAAAATACTGCAAAAAACACAAACATGTGGAGGCCAAACAATATGCTGCTAAACAACCAATGGGTCATGGAAGAAACAAAGGGGAAATTTAAAAATACCTGGAGATAAATGAAAGCAGAAACACATTTTTCCAAATTCTATGGGATACAGCGAAAGCAGTGCTGTGAGGGAAGTTTATAGCAATACAAGCCTACCTCAGGAAACAAGAAAAATATCTAGTATAAACAACTTAACATTACACATAAACAAATTAGGAAAGAAGAACTAACAAAACCCAAAGTTAGCAGAAGAAAATAAATCATAAAGGTTTAAGCAGAAATAAATGAAATAGAGGCTTAAAAAATAGAAAAGATCAATGAAACTAAGAGCTGGTTCTTTCAAAAGATAAACAAAATTGATAAACCTTTAGCTAGACTCATAAGAAAAAAAGAGGGCCCAAGTAAAATCAGAAATGAAAAAAAAGAAGTTACAAATGATACCACAGAAATACAAAGGATCATAAGAGATTAATATGAAAAATTATATGCCAATAAAATGGGCAACCTAGAGGAAATGAATAAATTTCTAGAAATGTACAGTTTCCCAAGACTGAATCAGGAAGAAATTCAAAATATGAACAAATTACCAGTAGTAAATTTGAATCAGTAATTTTAAAACTCCCAACAAACAAAAGTCCAGGACCAGATAATTTGACAGGTGAATTCTACTAAACATTTAAAGAAGAGATAATGCCTATCCTTCTCAAACTATTCCAAAAAGCTGAAGAGGAAGGAATACTTCTGAACTCATTCTACAAGGCCAGCATTACACTGATAACAAAACCAGACAAAGAAACCACACACACAAAAAATTACAGGCCAATATCACTGATGAACATAGATGCAAAAATCCTCAACAACATATTGGCAAATCAAATTCAACAATACATCAAAAGGATCATATACCATGATCAAGCAGGATTTATCCCAGGGATGCAAGGATAATACAATACTCACAAATCAAACAATGTGATATACACTATATTAACAAAATTGAAGAATAAAATCATATGATCATATCAATAGATGCAGGAAAAGCTTTTGACAAAATTCCACATCAATTTATGATAAAAACTCTCAACAAAGTGGGTATAGATGGAACATAATAACCTCAACATAATAAAGGCCATATATGACAAACCTACAACCAACATGGTACTCAGTTGTGAAAAGCTGAAAGTATTTCCTCTAAGATCAAGAACAAAACAAGGATGTCCACTCTCACCACATCTATTCAACATAGTATTGGAAGTCCTAGCCAGAACAATCAGACAAGAAAAAGAAATAAAAGGCATCTAAATTAGCAAGGAAGAAGTAAAACTGTCACTGTTTGCAGAGGACATGACACTATATATAGAAAATCCTAAAGATGTCACCAAAAAACTGTTAGAACTAGTAAACGAATTCAGTAAAGTTGCAGAATACAAAATTAATATACAGAAATATGCTGCAATTCTATACACTAACAAGGAACTATCAGAAAGAGAAATTAAGAAAACAAATCCATTACAATTGCAAAAAAACAATAAAATACCTAGAAATAAATCTAACCAAGGACGTAAAAGACTTGTACTTGGAAAGCGATGAAAGAAATTGAAATGACACAAATAAATGGAAAGATATACTGTCATCGTGGATTGAAAAAATTATTGGTATAATAACTACAATACAAAAGACAATCTACAGATCCAATGTTATCCCTATCAAAGTACCAATGGCATTTTTCACTGAACTAGAACAAATAATTCTAAAGTTTGTATGGAAACACAAAAGACCACAAATAGCCAAAACAATCTTGAGAAAGAAGAACAAAGCTGGAGGTCTCTCCATCCCTGATTTCAAACTATATACTACGTAGCTGCAGCAATCACAACATATGGTACTGGCATCAAAACAGACACACAAACTCATGGAACAGAAAAGAGAGACCAGAAATAAACCCACATTTAATACGGTCAACTAATCTACAACAAAGGAGGCAAGAATGTACATGAGGGAAAGACAGCCTCTTCAATAAATGATGTTGGGAAAACTGGACAGCTACATGCAAAGGAATCAAACTGGACTACTTTCTGATGCCATATACAAAAATAAACTCAAATTGGATTAAAGATATAACTGTAAGATCTGAAACCACAAAACTCTAGAAAAAACATAGGCAGTAAGCTCTTTGACATCGGTCTTAATTTTTTTGGATATGTCTCCTCAGGGACGGGAAACAAATGCAAAAATAAACAAATAGGACTCCATCAAACTGAAAAGCTTTTGCACAGTGAAGGAAGTTATTAACAAAATGAAAAGGCAGCCTATTGAACGGGAGAAGACATTTTTAAACAATATATCTAATAAGGGGTTAATAATCAAAATATATAAAGAATGCATACAACTCAACATAAAAAAAACCCCAAACAACCCAATTACAAAATGAGCAGAGGAACTACACAGACATTTTTCCAAAGAAGATATGGAGATGACCAACAGGTACATGAGAAAATGCTCAACATAACTGATCATCAGGGGAATGCAATTCAAGTTCACAATTAGATATCTCTTCACACCCTTCAAAATGGCTATTATCCAAAAGATAACACTTTGGCAAGGATGTGGAGAAAAGGCAACACTTGTGCAGAATTAGTGGGAATGTAAATTGATACGGTCACTATGGAAAATAGGACGGAGCTTCCTCAAAAAATTAAAAATAGAACAACAGTACGATCCAGTAATTCCACTTCTGGGTATTTTTCTGAAGAAAACAAAAACACTAAGGTGAAAAAATATATGCACCTCTATGTTCATTGCAGCATTATTTACAATAGCCAAGATATGGAAGCAACGTAAGTGTCCATCAATAGATGAATGGATAAATAAGATGTGGTATATATATACAATGGAACATTAGCCATAAAAAAGAATGAAATTTTGCCTTTTGTGACAACATGGATGGACCTGGAGGGTATTATGCTAAGTGAAATAAGTCAGATAGAGAAAGATAAATGCCATACGATTTCACTTATACACGGAATCTAAAAAACAATTCAAATGAACAAACATAATAAAACAGAAACAGACTCAGAGATACAGAGAACAAACAGGTGGTTGCCAGAGAAGAGTGGCATTAGAGGATGAGTGAAATAGGTGAAGGAGATTAAGGGATACAAACTTCTAGTTATAAAATAATGTAATGGGCATGTAATGTACAGCATAAGGAATATAGTGAATAATATTGTAAAACCTTGTATGGTGACAGATGGTAACTGGGACATCATGGTGATCATTTTGTAATGTATAAAAATATTCAGGGGCTTCCCTGGTGGCGCAGTGGTTAAGAATCCGCCTGCCAATGCAGGGGACACGGGTTCGAGCCCTGGTCCAGGAAGATCCCACATGCCGCGGAGCAGCTAAGCCCGTACACCACAACTACTGAGCCTGCGTGCCGCAACTACTGAAGCTCATACACCTAGAGCCCGTGCTCCGCAACGAGAAGCCACCACAATGGGAACCCCACGCACCGCAACGAAGAGTAGCCCCCGCTCGCCGCAACTAGAGAAAGCCTGTGTGCAGCAACGAAGACCCAACACAGCCAAAAATAAAAATAATAAAATAAAATAAATAAATTTTAAAAAATCAATCACTGTTGTATACCCAAAACTGATACAATATTGTAAGTCAAATTATACTTCAGTTTAAAAAATAAAAAAAGTAAATTCTCCAAATGCTCTAGAAAAAAATAAGATTACAGATGGCAAAATTTTAAAGGCTGTATCCAAAACCTATATGGTAAATAGCTACTTTTTGAAGAATAGCAAAGTATCCTCCAACAAAATCATCTAAACTCTCGAGATGAAAACCTCCAACTTAATAGGACACCTAAACTTGAATACAAATTATATCAAACTAGCAGGACTTGCCTCTTTTTCAGCTTCTTTAAATGCTGTTTCTTTCTGCTTTACTCTCTGCACAAACTTCTGTTTCAACTTTTCTTCTTCCCTCTGACATTGATCCAAGAAATCCTGCCTTTTGGCTTCATAGATCTCTTGAAAACTGAAAAGAAATTTGTGTTACTTTTATATTAAAATGTTAATATAAATAAACATGTTTACATATATATTGTTTATTAATATAAGTAGCTCATACAACTCAACAACAAAAAAACCAAACAACCCAATCGAAAAATAGGCAGAAGACCTAAATAGTCATTTCTCCAAAAGAAGACCTACAGATGGCCAACAGGCACATGAAAAGATGCTCAGCATCCCTAATTATTAGAGAAATGCAAATCAAAACTGCAATGAGGTACCACCTCACACTGGTCAGAATAGCTATCATTAAAAAAATCTACAAATAACAAAGGCTGGGGAGGGTATGGGGAAAAAGGAACCCTCCTACACTGTTGGTGGGAAAGTAAATTGGTACTATGGAAAACAGTATGGACATGCCTCAAAAAACTGAAAATAGCATTGCTATATGATCCAGCAATCCCACTTCTGAGCATATATCCAGACAAAACTATAATTCAAAAAGATACATGCACCCGTGCATTCATAGCAGCACTATTCACAAGAGCCAAGACATGGAAACAACCTAAATGTTCATCAACAGAAGAATGGATAAAGAAGAGGTAGTACATATATACAATGGAATACTACTCAGCCATAAAAAAGAATGAAATAATGGTATTTGCAGCAACATGGATGGACCTAGAAATTATCATACTAAGTGAAGTAAGTCAAAAAGAGAAAGACAAATACCATATGGTATCACTTATATGTGGAATCTAAAATATGACACAAATGAACTTATCTATGAAATAGAAAGACTCCCAGACATAGAGAACAGACTTGTGGTTGTCAAGGGGGAGGGGGGAGGGGAGGGATGGACTGGGAGTTTGGGATTAACAGATGCAAACTATTATATATAGAATGGATAAACAACAAGGTCCTACTCTATAGTACAGGGAACTATATTCAATAACCTGTGATAAACCATAATGGAAAAGAATATGGAAAAGAATATATCTATATCTCTCTATATACCTGAATCACTTTGCTATACAGCAGAAACTAACACAACATTGTAAATCAACTATACTTCAATAAAATACATATATATATATATTGTTATGTCACATATAAGGACATTTACCAATATTCTCTCATGTATAGAAATGAAAATTTCTATGTCACGAGATGTAAAAAAGTGAGGGGCCATATTGAATATAAGTATAGAGAGTGTATATATAGTAAGTACTCACATTTTGAAACACTTAAAATATGTTTTGTTTCTCCTACCACTTTTTATTATCACACTTCTTCACATCTTTTGACAACAAAATTTGGGGGAACATCTAATTTATGAGGTTCTCAAAATAATTAAAATAAGGCCAGGCGTCTTTCAAAATATGATGCATTTAAGATAGCCAGTTCAATTCTGGTTGCCTTCAAAGTACTGTAACTAATATAACTGGATTGTTCTACACTGTCATCCTTCTGCAGCACAAATCCTATTCCTCCTCAATATAGCTAAGTACACCTGCTCTCAAACTATTTTCACTTGACTTCCGTTGAAACTGAGTCCCCCGAAAACCTAGATTCTCTGCCAAGTTTATGATTGAGCTCTCCAATCCAAAATGTTATTCCCTTTCTTGTCCAACACCTGTTCCCCTCAAGATGGAGGAATATCAAAGAAAAGGGAAGATTGAAACCGAGCGGGATGTTGTGGGACCCTCCCAGGCATAAAAGCCTTTCCGTGTACCCCCTTTCTTGTTTGTGGGAAAAAGGCTTTCTGCCTCCTAGACCTTCCCTGAGTTCCAAAGGGCAGATTCAAACAGTTACTGGGAGGAAAGTGAGGGAATGCAGAAAGAAACAATAGTGCAGCATGGGGTCCTGGACCTGGTTCCTCCTGGGGCAGGGGTGGGAGTGTGTGTATGACAATCTGATACAGATCTCTTGAGTTCTTCTACAGGAACTAACGTGCCTACCCAGGTGGAGGATGATAATTTCACGCTGAGCACAAGCATGTAGACCCAGACTGGTAGGAACCAGAAGGCTGATGACTGAACATCACCCTGTTACCTCACCATCAACCAATCAGAGGAGGGTTACACACCCTACAGCCCTCCCCCACAAATTTTGCCTATAAAAACTTCTTCCCTGAAACCCATCAGAGAGTTCAGGTCTTTTGAGCATGAGCCACCCATTCTCCTTGCAAGGTCCTTGCGATAAACCTTTCTCTGCTCCAAACTCCAATGTTTCAGTTTGTTTGGCCTCACTGTGTGTCGTGCACGTGAACTTGGATTCGACAACACCATGCCATTACACTGCTGCTTTTCCTCTTTCCTCCATCCAATCCTCAATATCCTTTGCCATCTTATACCAATTTTTACTAATATTTGCAAATCTCTTTCCTGAGCTTCTGTTCCATATAAAATCTACTTTTTCTTTTGGATACACATTTCAGCACATACACATATTGGATGCATATAAACGAGCCCTTGCATTATGTTGCTCCTACTAACTCTCCATCTAAGTCTGAAGATGATAAAAAACCACACAATTTAGGATGTGAGAAGTACAGCTATTCTCATTCCGAAATAATCATATCTCATCGTTGTAGGGGATTTCTAAGTCACCCATCATCTTGTTTGAGCAAGATCTCCACTCACCTTACTGGCTGGTTGTCTGGATCCACATCAGTAAATCCCATTTTCTGAAGTTTGCTGCACCTATAACGTTCATAGTGCCAAGTGTGGGTTTGTTCTTTCAAGTCTTCCATGTTTGTACAAAAAAGCACATCCCGGAGCTTAACAAAGTCACAGTGATTTTCATTTTCCACTAGGCAGAAAAATAATAAAGCCACAATGCTTATTATCAATCCCTATCACTTTCTAAGTATTCTTGAGTGAGCTAAGAGATCGTTCAGATTAATAGCTATAATTCTTTTAACCATGTAACTATGGTTATATGGTACATACAAATTATAGGTAGAGTTTATTTATAGACCAGGAAATTTGCTTGAAATTTATTAGCCAAAGAATAAATAGGAAACACTGAAATAACATGTAATATTAGTAGATGGCATAAACTTTCATAATAATTATGTTAGTATTTTTCAAATGAATATGCTCAAGGTATTTTACAGAGCACTAAAAAAGAATATAATATAATTTCACTAAAGTAAATAATTTTATTAAAGTAAATCCTGCTAACATAAAGGTCTTAACAACTATGCATGATTTAGTTATTAAACTATATTTATACACCATATTTATGAGAATGAATTAGTCAGTTTTCAAAATCACTCAATAAATTCACATGGCTCTCTACTGTGTTTGTCATATCCAAAAGACTGAGCACAATACTTTGTGCATTGTGTATGATATTATAACCAAATGTAATATTCATTAAAATATGTTGTGTTTAAGTACATTTCATAAATTTAAAAATTTGTAATATATTAACTGAAAATAACATTTGGAAACTAGTCCCCAATAATTAGTATCACAAGTATACGAATCAGACAATAAATGACTGCTATTACACTATTCTAACTCATCATGATGCTAGATAACTAATATAAATGTCTAGGTATAATTTAGCCAAAAATGAATTGTATTACTTTATTTTTAAAATGGTTTTCCATCCCTTTTTATAGGGACCACTTTAAAATGCTTTAAAAATTAGGTAGCAATTAACTTATATAACATGTTTCAAGTACCAATATTTATGCTTCTGTGTTGTTCAGAGTTCTTTTGTTCAAAGAACTTTCCAACATTCTGAATGTGATGGTTTATGCATAGAGAGATAATCTGCATATAGCAGATGGGGGAAATGAGGAGGTTCTGCCCAGTTTCTGAATTTTTGCCTAAAGCACCATCCAGAAAACTCCCGTGAAAATAGGTTACAATCAAAATAAGCATTATCTTAAATGAAACAGAATCTGTGCTCCTTATCAGTAACTATTAATTTGCTGTTTAGCAAGAGTTACCAATATTGACTCAAGTTAAAATATTTTGTTTTACATATTTATAGTTATATTTTATATAATTTTTATAATTATATATATATTTAAGCATAATCATTCCAGAGCAAGCCTGCGCATCTTTGTTACATTTACCTTGTAAAACTCCCCAAGGGTACTGACGGCCTCTGACCATTCTTTTTCCAACTTTCACTTCATCTGTACTTCCTATTACAGCAAAAGGTAAATGTTCCTAGAAAGTAAGTACAATTTTAATCATGTTTCCTTATACCAATATAACTTACTCTGTTAATCTTATTTCTGTTATGGAAACAACAGAGACAATAATATCATCATAAGTTTATTCAAACAAGTGATTTATCTTGCCTCAGATTTTATGACTTCACATTAAATATGTGCAAATTAATTGCTGTAAGCATTTGTGCGAGATCATGCACACAATTGAAAACTACCTACTGAGTACAGCCTAAAGCAAGGCATTCGGCTGTGGGGAATACAAAGAAAACAGTTTTTGGTAGACATATAATTTTTCTCACATTATCTTTACCCTGAAACACAATAAGCAAATCACTTTTAACTCCAGTATAAAAGCTAAAAGACAAAATTAAGAAAACTCTAATAATTAGTTAATTGAAATATAACATAAAGCATATTAATAAATAATACTATATAGAAAATGGAGAAGAAAATTTTAAAAGGAATGCAAATCAGAAAGGAATTAGTAAAACTATCTGTTCTCAGATGATATTTTTAAAAGTATTTTTTAATTGGGATATAACTGACATATTATATTAGTTTCTGATGTACAACATAATGATTTGGTATTTGTATATATCATAAAATGACCACCACAGTAAGTCTAGTTAACATCCATCACCACACAGTTACAATTTTTTTTCTTGTGATGAGATCGTTTTGAATCTACTCTCTTAGCAACTTTCAAATATACAATACAGTACTATTAACTACAGTCACTATGTTGTACACCACATCCCCAGGACTTATTTATTTTATAACTGAAAGCTATACGACACAAAGGTACATATCTATGAGACAGAAACAGACTCACAGACATAGAGAACAGACTTGTGGTTGCTGGGAGGTGGGGATTGGGGGAGAGAAGGAATGGGAGTTCGGGATTAGCAGATACAAACTAGTATATATAGGATGGATAAACAACAAGATCTTACTGTATAGCACAGGGAACTATATTCAATATCCTGTGATAAACCATAATGGAAAAGAACATGAAAAAGAATATATATATATATATATATATATATATATATATATATATATATATACAACTGAATCACTTTGCTGTGCAGCAGAAATTAACACAACATTGTAGATCAACTATGCTTCAATAAAGTATAAAACAAAGTAAAATAAACTATTTGGGGTTAAAAAAAAAAGAAAGGCAACTGATTTCTGTATGTTAATCTTGTATCCTTCTACCTTGCTGAATTCATTTATCAGTTCTAGTAGTTTTTGTGTGGAGTCTTTAGGGTTTTCTATATATAGTATCATGTCACCTGCATATAATGACAATTTTACCTATTCCTTACTGATTTGAATACCTTTTATTTCTTTTTCCTGTCTGATTGCTGTGGCTAGGACATCCAATACTATGTTGAATAGAAGTGGTAAGAGTGCGCATCCTTGTCTCATTCCAGATTTTAGCAGGAAGGCTTTAGCTTCTCACTGTTGAGTAGTATATTGGCTGTGGGTCTGTCATAAATAGCTTTTTTTTTATGTGGTACATGGGCCTCTCACTGTTGTGGCCTCTCCCTTTGCGGAGCACAGGCTCCGGACACGCAGGCTCAGCGGCCATGGCTCACGGGCCCAGCCGCTCTGCGGCATGTGGGATCTTCCCGGACCGGGGCACGAACCCGTGTTCCCTGCATTGGCAGGCGGACTCTCAACCACTGTGCCACCAGGGAAGCCCAAATAGTTTTTATTATGTTGAGATATGTTCCCTCTATACCCACTTTCGTAAGGGTTTTTATCATGAATGGATGTTGAATTTTATCAAATGCTTTTTTCTGCATCTATTGAGATGATCATATGGTTTTGCATGGTGTACATGGTGTATCACATTGATTGATATGCTTATGTTGAACCATCTTTGTGACCCTGGTCATGGAAAGCTTGTTTTTTAAAAAGGTAAACAAAATTGACAAGCCTTTAGCCAGGCTGATTATAAAAAAGAGAGAGAGGGCTTCCCTGGTGGCGCAGTGGTTGAGAGTCCGCCTGCCGATGCAGGGGAAACGGGTTCATGCCCCGGTCCGGGAAGATCCCACATGCTGTGGAGCGGCTGGGCCCGTGAGCCATGGCCGCTGAGCCTGTGCATCCGGAGCCTGTGCTCTGCAACGGGAGAGGCCACAACAGTGAGAGGCCCGCGTACCACAAAATAAGAAAAAAAAAAAAAGAGAGAGAGAGAGAGGGCCCAAATAAACAAAATAATAAGTGAAAGAGGAGAAATTACAATGAATATTACAGAAATTAAAAAATCATAAGAGAATACTATGAATAATTATAAGCCAATAAATTGGACAACCTAGAAAAAATGGATAAATTCCTAGAAAAATATAATCTCCCAAAACTGAACCAGGAAGAAATATATAATCTGAACAGACCAATATTTAGTAGTGAAATTGAATCAGTAATCAGAAAACTCCTAGCAAACAAAAATCCAGGACCAGACAGCCTCATATGGGAATTCTACTAAACATATAAAGAAGAGCTAATACCTATCTTTCTCAAGCTACTCCAAAAAACTGAAGAAGAGGGAACACTCCCAAATTCATTTACGACTCTACCATTACCCTGATACTAAAACCAAAGACACAGCAAAAAAAAAAAAAAAAAAGAAAGAAAATGACAGGCCAACATCTTAGGTGTATATAGGTACAAAAATCCTCAACAAAATATTAGGTAACCAAATTCAACAATATATAAGAAGAATCATAAACCATGATCAAGTCTGATTTATTCCAGGGATGCAAGGGTGGCTCAATATCTGCAAATCAATCAGTGTGACACACCATATTAACAAATCAAGGGATAAAATCTCATGATCATCTCAATAACTGTAGAAAAAGCATTTGACAAAATTCAACATTCATTCATGATAAAAGCTCTCATCGATGTTGGTGTAGAGGGAACATATCTCAACATAATAGATGCCATTTATGACAAACCCACAGGTAAAATCATACTTAATGTTGAAAACTGAAAGCTTTTCCTCTAAAATCAATAACAAGACAAGGATGCCCATTATCACCACTTTTATTTAACATAATATTGGAAGTCCTAGCCACAGCAGTCAGAGAAAAAAATGTCATGAAGAACCTAGGGGTAAGACAGGAATAAAGACACAGACCTACTAGAGAATGGACTTGAGGATATGGGGAGGGGGAAGGGTAAGCTGCGACAAAGCGAGAGAGAGGCATGGAGATATATACGCTACCAAACGTAAGGTAGATAGCTAGTGGGAAGCAGCCGCATAGCACAGGGATATCAGCTCGGTGCTTTGTGACCGCCTGGAGGGGTGGGATAGGGAGGGTGGGAGGGAGGGAGACGCAAGAGGGAAGAGATATGGGAACATATGTATATGTATAACTGATTCACTTTGTTATAAAGCAGAAACTAACACACCATTGTAAAGCAATTATACTCCAATAAAGATGTAAATAAATAAATAAATAAATAAATAAATAAATGGCATCCAAATTGGAAGGGAAGAAGTAAAACTGTCAGTATTTGCAGATGACATGATACTATATACAGAAAACTTTTAAGCCTCTACCAAAAAACTACCGGAACTAATAAATGAATTCAATAAAGTTGCATAAAAAGGTTAATATACAGATTTCTGTTCCTTTTCTATACACTAATAATGAACTATCAAAAAGAGAAAGCAAGAAAACAATCCTGTTTAAAATCACATCAAAATGAATAAAATACCTAGAATTGGCTTAAAAGAGGAGGTGAAAGATCTATACTCTGAAAAATATAAGACGTTGGTGAAGGAATATGAAGATGACACCAATTAGTGAAAAAAATATACCACAATCATGGGTTGGAAGAATTAATAATGTTAAAATGTCCATACTACCCAAAATAACCTGTAGGTTTAATTCAACCCCTATCAAAATACACATGACATTTTCCACAGAACCAGAATAAATAATAATAAAATTGTATGGTTCCACAAAAGTCCTTGAATAGCCAAAGCGATCTTGAGAAAAAAGAACAAAACTGGAGGTATCACACTCCCTGACTTCAGACTATACTATAAAACTACAGTGTCAAAATAGTATGGTACTGACACAAAGACAGACATGTAGATCAATGGAACAAAACAAAGAGCCCAGTTATAAAACTACACAAATATGGCCAATTAATCTATGACAAAGGAGAGAAAAATATACAATGCGGAAAAGACAGTCTCTTCAATAAATGGTGCTGGGATAACTACATGATAACTACACAGCTACATGTAAAGGAATGAAATTAGAACCTTTTGTCATAAGATATACAAAAATAAACAGAAAATTGATTAAAGACCTAAATGTAAGACCAGAAACCATAAAACTCCTAAAAGAGAACATAGAACACTCTTTGACATAAGTGGTCACAATATTTTTTTGGATCTTTCCCCTCAGGCAGAGGATACAAAAGCAAAAAAAATAAACAAATGGGATCTAATTTAATTTAAAACCTTTTGCACATCAGAGGAAACCATCAACAAAATGAAAAGACAACCTACTGAATTAAAAAAATTTGCAAATGATGTATCTAATAAGGGGTTAATACCTAAAATATATAAACAGCTCATACAATTCAACATCAAAAAAAAGCAAACAACCCAATTTTTAAAAAGGGCAGAAGACCTCAATAGACATTTTTTCAAAGAAGACATGCAGATGGCCAACAGGCACATGAAAAGATGCTTAACATTACTAATCATCAGGGAAATGCAAATCAAAACCACAATGAGATACCACCTCACATCCATTAATATAAACTATTACTTAAAAAAAAAACCCAGAAAGTAACAAGTGTTGGTATGAATGTGGATAAATTGGAATCCTTGTACACTTTTGGTGGGAATGTAAAATAGTGCAGCCACTATGGAAAACAGTATGGCGGTTCCTCAAGAAATTAAACGTAGAATTACCATACAATCCAGCAATTCCACTTCTTGGCACTACCCAAGGGAATTGAAAGCAGGGACTCAAATAAATATTTGTACAGGTATAAAAGGGCAAATATTATATATTTCCATCTACTAGAAGTACCTTGAGTAGCCAAATTCATAGGGCTGAGGGAAAGAGTAATGGGGAATTATTGTTTATTACAGAGCTTCAGTTTTTGAAGATGAAAAGAGTTCTATGGATATAGATGGTGGCAATGATAGTAGCACAACACTGTAAAAGTATAATGCCACTCAGCTGTAAGCTTTAAAAAAGTTTAAGGTGGTAAATTTCAGGTTATGTGTATTTTACCACAATTTTAAAACCTCTTAGAAGAAAACTTATAAGTAAATCTTTATTACCTTGGATTTGACAAAACATTCTTAGATATGACATCAAAAGCACAACTAACAATAAAAATAAATAAACTGGACTTCATCAATATTAAAAAGTTTGTGTTTCAAAGCACACCAAAAATAAAATGGAAAGACCAACAGATTGGGAGAAATATTTGCAAATCATGTATCTCATAAGCAACTTGTATCCAGAATATATAAAGAACTCTTACAACCCAATAATAAAAAGACAAAAGCTCAATTAAAAATAGACAAAGGGTCTGAGTACATTTTTCTCTTGGGAAGACATATTAATAGCCGATAAAATCATGAAAAGACCAAATATTATATAATTCCATTCATATGACATGTCCAGAACAGAGAAATCTGAAGAGAAAGAAGTTGATTAGTGGTTTCCTAGGGTTGGTGGAGAGGAGGGCTGACAGGTAGTAGGTGAGAAAGCTGAAGAGTATGGGATTTCTTTTTGAGAAATAAAAATGTCCTAAATTTCGTTGTGGTGATGGTTGCACACACTGTGAATAAACTAAAACTCACTAAATTGTATATTCTAACAGGTGAGTCACATGGTATGTGAACTATATCTCAATAAAACGCTTTTTAAAAGAATTGATTATCAGCAAACATTTTTCAAAATCAAGAAAGTGAAACATTTTCCCACACTGGCTTTTGGGAAAAGAATATCTTATTTATAGTATCTTTGTCAGATACAAGTGACACTATATTACTAATATTGTTACTTATAAATTATACTTTCATTCCCACCTGTCATATAGAACTGATATTCAGTAGTTAGAAGCTTACATTCATTGAGGTGTCCACGTCCATGGTAGCTTCATCATCTGTTGGGAACTGGTATATCTGGATGCCATTACTAATCAATTCACTCATTATCTTACACTTAAATTTCTGTAAATCATTTTTAGAAATTGTATCTGCTTTGGCAATCAGTGGTATAATGTTCACCTATTAAGAAAGAAGCAAACAAAATCTCACCATTGAGAATTTGTTATTAATTTGTTATATTTACAGTCAAAACCTCAATTTCTGACAATAAATTTTCATAACTAGATTATCACTGGCTATCATGACTTCCTCACAGAATTACTTTCCAAAATCATCAGTACTTTTGAAGATTAATCTTTAATCAGAATTCAGGTTTAGAAACCTCAATTTTCTTTCTCAAACTTTCTTACACATCTAGAATTAGTAAAATGTAAGTAGCAAAATGAAGTATGATCAATTTGATTTCATTATCAATTTGATTTCTTATTAAACTGAGTATTAAACAGTCAGAAGAGACCTTTCATCAAAATTATAGAACAGATCAACTTTGTCCTTCTACCTGTCATTCATTTGCATCATCTTCTCCATAAATCCACCTTAATCACTGTCCCATTTTCTAGGTAGAATCTTGTTCTACCTAGATGACCTTGCAGGTAGATCTGCTTGTGTTTTCCAAAGACCACCTAAAAATAGTAGGCTTTTTTTCACTATACTTTAAAAGCTGAGTGTGTATATATGTGTGTATAGCACCGTGCTAACAAAAAAGTCCATTTGTAATTTGTAAAAAGAAATGATTTCACATTGCATATTTGAACTTGTAATTTTATACATAAAATTTTCTTCCTAGCTCTACAATATGATCATTGCTTCTCAATGAATTTACATCTTAATAATTAAACTTTGTAGAAAATAACAATATAAAATTCCAAAATATGTTTTATTACTGTTAAAATAAATTGTTACTGTTAAATCATAGCTACACAACGTTAAGTTCTGTGATCTAGTAGAAATGCATAAAAGTCAGTTTTAGGTCTATTGCTTTTGTTTTAGGTTCCTCAAAGTACATTTTAAAAAAATCCTTATGAAAATCTAGGGCTTCAATATTATAACGTAGATGTTCAAAATTTTGTCTAATTTTTTTTTTTTTTTTTTGCGGTACGCGGGCCTCTCACTGTCGTGGCCTCTCCCGCTGCGGAGCACAGGCTCCGGACGCGCAGGCTCAGCGGCCATGGCTCATGGGCCCAGCCGCTCCGCGGCATGTGGGATCTTCCTGGACTGGGGCACAAACCCGTGTCCCCTACATCGGCAGGCGGACTCCCAACCACTGCGCCACCAGGGAAGCCCCAAAACTTTGTCTAATTTTAAAATCTTGAATAATACCTTGCATAGTAAAAAGCAGACAACTGCTATGGTAGATTCAAGACTAACATAAATGTCTTGGGTTGTATTAGTGAGAAAGCTGGGAAAAGATATCCTCCAGTGATAGTAAATCATTACCACATGAGAAATGAAAACGCTTCATGTCAATAATTCCTCAGGTGTTCATATTTAAGGAACAAAAGTCACTTATTGCAAGGAGAGCTGAGAAACCTGTAAGAGAAGACAACAGACAGACACAGCCTTGCCCAACCCTTTATGCAATGGTCTTTGCAAAAATTAGTAACTTCTTGTATCTGGAAATGGCTTGATGATTATAGCTGCCCATAAAATTAAAAATAAAACTGTGTGTCCTTGAGTATTGAATATAGTACTAACCGAGAAATTGAGACAGCTCTTAATTTTAGCTAGAAATCTAACTTCTTTCAACTACTTGGTGACTTAGATTAAGTACAACGTTTCTTTCCAGTTTGAACAATACATAGCAAAGGTCAGGCCTTCTTTGATAAAGGGAACGCAATTTTAGAACTCTTCCTCCCTTCAACTGAATAAAGTTGAAGACAGCATGTTTTACCAGGGCTGAGTGCAGAAAAGAATCTCATGACATAACAAGTTCTTTCATATGTACATTTGCTCTCTGTTGGAAAAAAAAATTATATATATTCTGAATTTTCTCTGACAGAACCAGTAGCCAGGATCATGAAATCTTCATGTGTCACACCATCAGTGGTACCGGGTAAACGTTAATGGCATTATTTTATAGTACTATAGAGTAAATTCTATTTCAAAACTACAGGTAAATGACCATGATCTGAATTATGATTTAATCACAAACCCCTAAATTTAAAAAAAATTTTTTTAAGTTTTTAAAATTTTTATTTTAGATTGGAGCATAGTTGATTAACAATGTTGTGTTCATTTCTGGTGTACAGAAAAGTGATTCAGTTATACACATACATGTATCTATTCTTTTCCAAATTCTTTTCCCATTTAGGTAATTACAGAATATTGAGCAGAGTTCCCTGTGCTATACAGTTGGTCCTTGTTGGTTGTCTATTTTAAATATAGCAGTGTGTACATGTCAATCCCAGACTCCCAATCTATCCCACACCCCCACCCTTCCCCTCTGGCAACCATAAATTCTGTTCTCTAAGTCTGTTTGTTTCTATTTTGTAAGTTCATTTGTATGAATTTTTTTTTAGATTCTGCATAGAAGTGATATCATATGATATTTGCCTTTCTCTGTCTGACTTACTTCACTTAGCATGATAAATTTTAAATTTTATTAAATTTTTTAAAACCTGTGTCTCATTTTCCTAACTGATACACATTGTAATTAAATTTCTCTGGAAAGGAAGAAAGGTTGAAATGTATCAAATGCTATTATGGGCTGAATATGTCTCCCCCTTCTCTCTCACACATATCTTAAAGCCCTAAACCCCAGTATCTCACAAAGTATTTGGAGATAGAGCCTTTAAAGAGGTGATTAAGTCAAAATAAGGCCATGAAGATAGGCCCTAATCCAATCCCACTGGTGTCCTCATAAAAAGGGGAAACTTGGACAGAGACATCAGCTGTGTGTACAAAGGAAATATCATGTGAGGACGCAGTGAGAAAGTGGCAATCTGCCACCTAAAAAGAGGTTTCAGAAAAAATGAAACTTGGCGACACCTTGGTCTTGAACTTATAGCCTCCAGAATTGTGAGAAAATTAATTTCTGTTGTTTAAACCACTAAGTCTGTGGTATTTTGCAATGGCATCCCTAGGAAACAAACATAAATGCTTTAAAGATTAACAAAAAAGGACTTCCCTCGTGGCGCAGTGGTTAAGAATCCGCCTGCCAATGCAGGAGACACGGGTTCAAGCCCTGGTCCGGGAAGATCCCATATGCTGTGGAGCAACTAAGCCCGCGTGCCACAACTACGGAGCCTGCGCTCTAGAGCCCATGAGACACAACTACTGAGCCTGCGTGCTGCAACTACTGAAGCCCATGTGCCTAGAGCCTGTGTTCTGCAACAAGAGAAGCCACCACAACGAGGAGCCTGCGCACCACAATGAAGAAAGCCCGTGCACAGCAACGAAGACCCAACACAGCCAAAAATTAATTAATTAATTAATTATTTTTTTTTAAAAAAAGATTAACAACAACAAAAAAAGATATATATATATATATATATACATATTACAAAATAACAAGTTCTCTGTGTGCAAATGCCTTCAAGATTTGTATTATTTCACAATAAGTATCAAATCTTGATAGGTTGATAGATTTACCGAACGCACCTTACTGTCAATGTTCTTCATGGTTAATAGATCAAGGGGTTTCAGAGAATGTCCTGTAGGTGAAATGAAGTAAAGGCACACGTGGATACGGGAATCATGGTAGTCAACAAAGGAACGCTTAATTTTCAATTCTTCTTGAAGATAGGACTCAAACTGAGCATCTATGTAGTCACCTATTAGCTGGTAGCTGAAAAAATGATTATTTAAACATTTAGCATAACAGATTAATATCATCTGATGTCTGCATTTTTACCATTTAATATCTAGTTAATATGTGTACTCACTAGTTTGCCACAGTGATAAAATGTGCATAATATGTCCTTACAAAGATAACAGCTACAAGCTGTTACAAAGCAACAAAAAGTCCTCTTGTTTATAGAAAAGGAAAAATGATCTATCAGTTCAATGAAGTTCAAATCAGAAAACAAATTTTTTATATGTATACATATGTATAAGTGCAAAGAACCAAGAATGCTCAAGACATACTGAAAAAAAAATGAAGAAGATATATTCTTCATATATCACGTCTTACTATATATGAAGTAAAATAATTAATACAGGATGGTATCAGCACAAGGATAAAGAGACTAAAGCACAAGAGAATTTTTGGATGTGACAGGACTGTTCTATGTCACAACTAAGATGGTGGGTATAAACTCTATGCATTTTTTAAAACCTACAGAAGTATACACCACAAAAATTGAGTCTTTATGTAAATTTTAAGAGTGCCACCAGTATCAAGACAGTGAATACATCTCTCCTTTTGCCCCCCTTTTTAACAGCTAATAATTGGATCCACCCACAAACAAAAGTACCTCTGTGGGAGATGGGACACAGCACCACATGCCAGGGAACCAGGAGGAATCTTGCCCAACTGTATGGCAATAGGGAGACAGATGTCCATACAGGCTGTGGAACCAGCAGGAGCCAGTGAACCTGCCACACCCTCTTGCATACAGTCGTGGAAAAATTGAAGTGTGCTGACTTGGACACATACCCACAGATGGGAGAGACCTGTAGAAGTTCAGCAATCCATATGGCAGATTCCAGCACTTCGTGGAGAATAAAAAAGAATTTGGATGCGCTGGAGAGGGTAAGAGGAATTTCGCCAGTGTCAATGCTCCCCCAAAACAACACAGCACAGGGCTGAAATAGTCATCAGTAACCTCTCCCACAAGAGAATGGGAGGCTGTGAGTGAGTGCCCAGCACCCAGTGCCTGGCTGTGCAGGACATTGTTGGAGAAAACCATTTCTCTCCAGCAGCACCTAGAATACTGAAGCCGGAACTCCATGACTAGGGACAAAAGGACACCAGGAAAGAGGTAGATAAGAATATCAAAGGGCATTAAAGGGACATGCTGACCAAGCTCAGGACTTCAGCAGGAAACTCAGCCATTAGCCTCTGGGAGAACCTCACTTGATGATCTCCCCCATTGGACCCATGCATACTCCCAGTGCCCCATATAAACCCACACCTCCCCACACTCTGCAGCAGGCTGTGTGCACACTCCTGCATGTGATGGCAAGAGTGAGATCTGGTAAATGGAGTGTGCTCAGAAAAATCAGACCAGAATCTGTGAGCAAGAGAAACCACTTTCTGGAAATTCTGAGCTATAGCACCACTTTCTGAAAGGAAAAAAAGAAGTTCCTAGAAGCCAGCCAGGAGAGTTGTAAGAATCAGAGAAGGCATAAAAGCTTAAGAATTTTGCCACAAGAGGGAGTAAGAACTGTGGAGCTGGGCTGTCCATACAAGATCAGAGAAAGCTCCCAGATATAACAGGACTAATAAACAGTATATCCACCTAAATGCAACTAGTAAAGGATTTGAGGAGCTGTCTGCTACTTCAAGTGCAAAAGCAGCAATGCAAAACTCCAAGGAATGTGAAGAATCAAGAAAACATGTCACCTGCAAAAGATAATAATAATCCTCTAATAACTGAATCACAGGCACAGAATTTTGCAATCTATCTGAAAAAGATTTCAAAATAATGAAACTCAATGAGATACAAGAAAACACATAAAGACAATTCAACAAAATCAGAAAAACAATGTATGAGCAAAATTAGAAACTTAAGAAAGGGATAGAAATCTTAAAAAAAAAAAAAAAATCCAAACAGAAATTCTGGGACTGAAAAATTCAATGAATGAAATAGAAAATGCAATAGAGAGCATCTACAGCAGAAGAGACCAAATGGAAAACAGAATCAGTGTGCTAGAGAATAGGAACTTTGAAATAACTCAAGCAGAGGAAAATAAAGACGCAAAGAATGAAAATGAATGAAGAAAGCTTATATGATCTAAGGGACTTCAAAAATATATAAATATTAGAATAGTTGGATTTCCATACTGAGAGGAAAGGAAGAAAAGGGCAGAAAGTTTATTTAAAGAAAGAATAGGGACATCCCTGGTGGCGCAGTGGTTAAGAACCCGCCTGCCAATGCAGGGGACACGGGTTTGAGCCTTGGTTCGGGAAGATCCCACATGCCACAGAGCAACTAAGTCCGTGTGCCACAACTACTGAGCCTGCACCCTAGAGCCTGTGAGCCACAACTACTCAGCCCGCGAGCCACAACTACTGAAGCCCACGCGCCTAGAGCCCGTGCTGCGCAACAAGAGAAGCCACAACGATGAGAAGAAGCTCGAGAACTGCAATGAAGAGCAGCCCCCGCTCGCCGCACAACTAGAGAAAGCCCGCACACAGCAACAAAGACCCAAAGACAGCCATAAACAAACAAACAAAAAAACAAACAAATAAATAAATAGAAAGAATATCTGAGTGGTGACCTAAACGGGAAGGAAATCTAAAAAAGAGGGGATATATGTATACATATGACTGATTCATTTTGCTGTACAGCAAGAAACTAACACAACATTATAAAGCAACTATACTCCAGGAAAAATTAACTTAAAAAAAAGAAAGAATAGCTGAGAACTTCACAAATTTTGGGAGACACTTAGCCATCTAAGTTTACAAACCTAATAGATCACCATATATCTCAATGCATAAAGACCTTCTCAAGACACCATATAATGAGGCTATCAAAAATCAAAGACAGGGGCTTCCCTGGTGGCGCAGTGGTTGAGAGTCTGCCTGCCAATGCAGGGGACACGGGTTCGTGACCCGGTCTGGGAAGATCCCACATGCCGCGGAGAGGCTGGGCTCGTGAGCCATGGCCGCTGAGCCTGCGCGTCCGGAGCCTGTGCTGAGCAACGGGAGAGGCCACAACAGTGAGAGGCCCGCGTACCGCAAAAAAAAAAAAAAAAAAAAAAAAAAAATCAAAGACAAATACAGAATCCTAACAGCAGCAAGAGAAAAAAGAAGTGTAACCTATAAAGAAACCCCCATTAGGCTATCAGCAGATTTCTCAGCAAAGACCTACAGGCCAGGAGAGAGAAAAATAACAAAATATAAAAATTGCCAGCCAAGAATACTCTGTTTGGCAAAGTTATTCTTCAGAAATGAAGGAGAAATAAGACTTTCCCAAACAACAACAAAAAAGCTGAGAAAGTTCATTGGTACTAGATCTGCCTTGCAAGAAAATCTTTAAGAAATTCTTCAGACAGAAGCAAAAAGACACTAATTAGAACATGAAGATGTACAAAAGTATATAACACACTGATAAAGGCAAATATACAGATTTAGAAAAATCTAATCTGTGATAAGATAGCATGTTAACAACTTAACTAGAATATAATGGTTAAGGACAAAAGTATTAAAAATAACTATAGTACTGTAATTTGTTAAAGAATATATAATATAAAAAGAGGTAAATTTGTGACCTCAAAATATAAAATGGGGAGCAAAAGGGTGAAATTTTCTTATGCGATCAAAGTAAACCACGTATCAGTTTTATCTGTAAGATGTTTTATGTAAGTTTCATGACAACCACAAAGCAAAAACCTAGAGTAGATTCACAAAAGATAAAGGGAAATCAGAACATACCAGCACAAAAAATCACCAATTTACAAAGACAGAAAGAAACAGAGAAAAAAACTAAATAATGGAACTACGAAACAACCAGAACACAATTAATAAGATGGCAGTAGTAAGTCCTTACATCTCAGTAATTATTCTAAATATAAATGAGTTGAACTCAGTAATCAAAAGGCACAGTTGGCTAGATGGATTAAAAAAATAAAACCCGGGGCTTCCCTGGTGGCGCAGTGGTTGAGAGTCCTCCTGCCGATGTAGGGGACACGGGTTCGTGCCCCGGTCTGGGAAGATCCCACATGTCGTGGAGCGGCTGGGCCCGTGATCCATGGCCGCTGAGCCTGCGCGTCCGGAGCCTGTGCTCCGCAATGGAAGAGGCCATAACAGTGAGAGGCCCACATACCGCAAAACAAACAAACAAACAAAATAAATAAATAAATAAAACCCAACCATCTGCTGCTGACAAGAGACTCATTCAGCATTAAGGACACACATAGGCCCAAAGTAAAGAAATAGAAAAAGATATACCATGAAAGTGGAAATGAAAATAAAGCAGGGGTGGCTGTAAAAAAGATCCAACTGCATGCCATCTATTACAATAGAGCCATTTTATTATTTTTTAATTGAAATATAGTTGATTTACAATGTTGTGTTAATTTCTGCTGTACAGCAAAGTGACTCAGTTATATATATATGTACATGTATATATACATATATATATATATATTCTAGAAGACTATTACTTTTTTTTTTTTTTTTTTGCGGTACGCGGGCCTCTAGCTGTTGTGGCCTCTCCCGTTGCGGAGCACAGGCTCCGGTCGCGCAGGCTCAGCGGCCATGGCTCACGGGCCCAGCTGCTCCGCGGCATGTGGGATCTTCCCGGACCGGGGCACGAACCTGTGTCCCCTGCATCGGCAGGCAGACTCTCAACCACCGCGCCACCAGGGAAGCCCGTAGAAGACTATTACTTTTTAATACATGGAGAAAGAAAGTAAGTTCCTTGAAATAAGAATAATTTTTAAATTAAAATAAAAAACCACTCACCTGCCTTCCTTGTTTATTTGATCACCATACCCCACTGTTTCCACAACAGTTAAGTTCAACTGAATATTGCTTTCCTGAAGTTCATATGTCTGAATTTTAAGTCCAACATTTGGGCAAAAATGTGAGGATTTTTTGTCTTTCAAGTTAGTATTGAACAGTGTGTCGATCAATGTTGATTTTCCAATCCCAGTTTCCCCTGTATAAACATAGATACATCATAGGGGAATAAGATGTCTGAGAAGAAGTAACACCCTGACCCTCTAGGATGGTTTAAAGGGTCCCAAACACTTTAAAGACTGGAATATCCTTGAAAGTATACATGCTACTCTTGACTCCCTCCATCATTACATAATATAGAAAGATAATATACACAAAGCTATATCAGATTTTGAAAGGCACTGAAACACTTAAAGAAAAAAATGTCTAAGTAACATGACTAAAGATACAAACCAATACAAACATGAAGACATAGTCTTAAATTAACAGCACCAGTGTTATGCTGCTTAAGGTAAGTTGAAATGAGCATTTAGGAAAATCAGGAAATAATTCATGTGAGGGGTTTGGCACTTACCCACACAGAGAATATTAAAAAAGAACCCTTGTTGAACAGATTTGTTCACCAGTTGTTGAGGCAAACAATCAAAACCAAAATGACCAAGCGTAGTTAAACAACGGATATTATCTTCTTTTTGCTTAGAGAAAAAAACAAATAAAAATATATTAATTAGAATAGAGAATGTCATTTGAAAATATGACTATAATAATATGTCAAAGAAATGGAATTGATTATCATTTGATCATCATACCTCAGATAAGATGCAAATGAAGTAAATTTGTGAGAAGAGAAATCTTTATCCAGACACACAGATTTTTGTCATCGTTTTTATAAATAGTGACTCTATCTCTGATCACACTCAGACTATGTTTTTAAATTTAAAAATAGGAAATTACAGAAGTACCACAAGAAAGCCTAGTATGTTACTATACAATAATAAATTATTTTTATAGAAAAAAAGGAAACAACATTCTTTCACTCCGTTTCAGTGTGGTAATATATTCAGGAAATCCAATATATGTTAATATATGTAAGGAAATCAAAGTTAATTTGAATTTTTTAAGAAGCAACTAAAAACTTTGACTTCAGATTTCTTATATGCCCTCTGAGAACTTGTGTTAATTTCCTTTAAATTGTTAAAGGAATCCACTGCTAATAATACCAACCTAGAAAACTAGAAATCCAACAATATTATACATAAATTTACCAACTGATTATTTTTAAAAGGTGGAAAAATAATTCAAAGAATGCTTAACAATCTACACTAATCTCATCCCTAGAAATCTCTCCCAAACAACTAGAAAATTTCACAAATGCTTTATGCATAAAAGTGTTCACTGTAGCCATCTAACATCCAAATGTATGACTCCCTGAAATAGAATATGCAAGTAAATGATAATATATTTTTTCACGCACACACTGGGGCATTCTTAAGTCATTTTTAAAGATGTTTATGAAGAATGCTTTAATAAATTGAAAAATACATGAAAATATTAAGTTAAAAAAGTAAGGTGTGAAATTGTGTGTACACTCCTAGCTTTTGGTGATAGAGTAATTATAGCATTTTACCTTTCCTTACATCAACAATTAGAAACAACTGTTTGGGGAGTTCCCTGGTGGCCTAGTGGTTAGGATTCTGGGCTTTCATGGCCGTGGCCCGGGTTCAATCCCTGGTCGGGAAACTAAGGTCCCTCAAGCCGCATGGTGCGGCCAAAAAAAAAAAAAAAAAGGACTGTTTGAAGGCACTGGGAGGGAAAGAAAAGGAGGCAGAAACAAGAATAAATCACGCTGGAAATAAGGTTAGCATAAGAGGTGAAACTAGGTTTATCCATATATTCCCTTGAAGTGACTCCCCATTAAATGAGAAACTTGGGAAGCAGAGCTCAAGCAGAATGACAATCTTGAGCTGGGAAGTCTAAGGTCATAAGTTGGGCTGCCAAAATACTGGGATATTGAGAAAGAAATGCTGGAAGAGCAAGCCACAGAGTGGGGAGATCCAAATCTGCAAACTTTAGAACACTTGGCTGAGTCTAACCCTGCACGTGCAGGCATGGCTACAAAGAGCTCAGTGGCAATGGAGAGAAGAGTTGGCATTCCAAAAGTGCTAAGCTGGTATTTCAGCAGTGGTCCTGGGAAGGCCCGAGGAGACAGAGTTTGGAGTTTACATTTCTTCCAAGTTAGACAAGATTGGTCAACACTTTAGATAAACACTTTGGACTTTTTATTTAAATTTGTAAAAGGACTTGCTATAGGATTTAGGATTATGTTCTAAGTCAAAGGGTTACTCCCAAGTCAAAGGGTATAACTAAGATAAACCCATCTTTACAAAGAGTATCATGACTCAACAGTGTCCAAATGACTTGCCAGTAATCTAACTGCCTGCTAAAACAAAATTCAATACTCTTTAGAGAAATATAATAATAGAATTCAGACTTTCTACAATACCATCCACAATGCTCAATGCATAATCAAAATTACTAGGTTTGAAGAAGCAGAAAAAAATCTGTCTCATAGCCAAGGAAAAACACAATCAATAGAAATAACCACATAATGAGGATACTGGAATTGGCAGACAAATACTATAACTGTTATGAACATGTATAAGAATCTACAGAAAAAATGAGTTTAATGGATGAAGTGATAGGTAATTTTAGATACATGAAAGATGATGATATAGGAGTCAAAGCATACCACCAAAAAAAGTCATCAAATCACAAAGGAAGACAGCAAGATAACAAGTAAAGAACAAAGCAATTACAGAACAATCAGAAATAATTAACAAAATGGCAATAGTAAGTCCTTACCTATTGATAATTGTTTTAAAGGTAAGTGAATTAATTCTCCAATAAAAGGTCATAGAAGGTTGAATGGATTTTAAAAAACCAAATGATATGCTGCCTACATGAGAATAACTTTAAGAACACAACAGACTGAGAGTAAAGGGATGGAGAAAGATATTTCAAGCAAATGGTTACCAAAATAAAGCAAAGGCAGCTATACCTATTTCAGACAAGATAGACTAAGTTATAATTATAAAGAGGACAACCTATCAAGAAGATGTATTTATTATAAATATGCACTCAGTACCTAAATATGTAAAGCAAATACTAGCAGAACTAAAAGGAGAAAGAAATAGCAATGCAATAGTAGCTGGGGATTTGAATACCCCACTCTCAACAATGGATACATCATCCAGATGGAGAACCAATAAGGAAACAGCAGATTTGAACAATGCAATAGACTGAATGGACCTAATAGGCATATACAGAAAGTTCCATCTAACAGCTGCCTACTACACATTTTTCTCAGGTGCACACAAAATATTTTCTAAGGTAGATCATATATTAAGCCACAAGACAAGTCTTGATTAATTCAAAATGATAGAAATAATATCAAGTATCGTAATGATATGTAAGACATTTACACTGAAAACTACAAAAGAATGATAAGAGCGATTAAGATTGAACTAAATAAATGGAAATATATATCGTGTTTACACATTGGAAAAACCATTAATATTAAGATGCTCTTTCACCCCATATATATTCAAATGCAATTTTAAAAGCACAGGAGAATCTGTTTAAATGGCACCTACTGGCCAAATGTTGCATAATTGAGCATCAAAATTATTAACTATGAGACTGCTGTTCTTCATATTTCAATTTCATGTTCCTTTCTACATGCCTACCCCTTCCTGAATCACCCTGCTATGGGACTCTTAATTGAGTTCAGTAGTAAGAGTAAAATAGGTTTACTATATCATGTTTTTAGCATAACTATTTTGAATAGTGTGGTCAAAAATATGAAATTATTTTAAAAAAATTTTTAACAAAGAAAACATACAGTTGGTAGTCCTAAATAAGAATATGCTTCAAAGATTTTTTTAAAAACACTCTTTGCATAGAAATTAAATTATGCTATTTCTTTTTCCATAAGCATTATAATATTATAGACACAATGATATAAGGAAACATTTGTATTAGTAGTTTCACTATGATTAGTATTAGAATTCATTTAATCCTCTTATGTTAAAATAAGGGATTAAGATCCAAACAGTTTACATGATTTACCCAAAGACAGAGTTCAATACACTTTGAGCTCTTTGAGATAGAATTTTATTCACTTTATATCATTAACTCCCAGCTCACAGTAGGCTTTCAATAGCTTTTGGTTGAATTAGTGCATGCTAAATGAAGAGTGAATGGTAGAGATAGGAGCCTACCCGGGTCCTATCTGGTCTCAACCAAGAATCCAGGAATCAACCAAGAATTAATTAGTAAAAATTCCATGGGAATTTTATATTTAAAGAGAGTGTATTTACCAATCCTAAACTGAAAATACAATCAAATAAGAAATAATAAAAATTTTCAATTTGTAACTACTTGTGCTCTTAGAAGACAGCGTTTATATATGGTGGTAAATTTTGACTTCTCTACTCAAAAGAGAACATTCTGACCCATATAATCTGAAGATTATATGTAACAATAAAAGATTTGGACACTCTACTGTCCTCTCTGTCCTACACTCCCTTGTGGCAGGCTTCTCTCATTTTAAAAACTGTAGCTTAGGGAGGTACCAGATCAAAGTGCTTTGTGTGTCCATAGAACAAAATATAGCCCATTTTCTTATCAGGAACAGACCAGAAACCTTGGCCTCATGAACACTGAGTTTTCACCCACAGAGCAAATATCGATAGAACAAGCAGGGGTTTCCATAGAATCATCACTATTACTTAACAAATGTCTTCTGATGGGCCAAAAGTTCTTTCTTATAATATTTACTTTTATAAAATTCCAAATAATATTTACTTTTATAAAATTCCAAAATAATCTATGGAGAGAACTTAAATATTTCAGATTCTACTAATTTGGAATTTGTGATCTTTCAAGTCTCGTTCTTGAATTCAACTTTGCATCATCCACAAACAAAGCACAAATAAAGCAAATTAAGAAATAAACAAGGTAGATATATAAAAATATATGAACCTACTATTAAAAGGATTATTTCACATGCATTCACATGAAACTGAAATGCAAATCATACATTATTTTAATCCCTCATGATAGCAAGGACACACAGACTACATCTAGCAAATGGGATACTGTACATAAAGTTATAGTCTGTAAATTTATAAAAGGACTCTACAAGCTCTGACAAGCCCTGATGTTTACCCTGTATTCACTGAACTTTTTTTCCCAGTGGTATGGGGAAAGGTAGCTGAATAAGAAAAGTCACTAGTCATTGTGAGCCTTTGGGACAGTCACTGGTGCCTGTTTTCTCTTCTGTAAAATGAGAACATTTGATCAGGAGAGCTTAAAATTCTTTCACACTCTGATGTTCTATAAGTCAAAGAGTCTTATTTATGAAGAGCCTACAATTTCAATAGAATAAAAGCCATGAAGAAAAAGTTAAAATATCTATTAATATCATACTAAGTACCAAAATTACAGAAAAGTCAAAAAATAATATAGGAATTTGGAAGAAGGATAGATGACTGTGGCATAGAGTAGTTAAAAATAATTTTAAAAGATGGCAGATTGTCTCTTGAAGACAGGATAAGACTTGTATGAAGGAGGGAGGTATTATGAACAAGAGGTAAAAAAAGGACCCAACAATAGAGAGTTTTAAATATGAGGCTAAGGAATATGGATTTTATCTAAATGGTAATGGGCAGTGGCTAGAGGTTTGAGCCAGAGAATAGTAGAAGGAAGAAGCATTTCAAAAAGATGAATAAGGCACTAGCATGACAGTGGCCTGGAGAGGAAACTAGAGCCAGAAGATGAGTTGTGAAGCCCCTTCCCTTATAAAAGTGAGTGTTCTGTTGGTGGGAATGTAAATTGATACAGCCACTATGGAGAACAGTATGGAGGTTCCTTAAAAAAACTAAAAATAGAATGACCATATGATCCAGCAATCCCACTACTGGGCATATACCCAGAGAAAACCATAATTCAAAAAGACACATGCATAATTCAAAAAGACACATGCCCATCGACAGACGAATGGATAAAGAAGATGTGGTACATATATACAATGGAATATTACTCAGGCATAAAAAGGAACGAAATTGGGTCATTTGTAGAGATGTGGATGGATCTAGAGACTGTCATACAGAGTGAAGTAAGCCAGAAAGAGAAAAACAAATATCGTATATTAACGCATATATGTGGAACCTAGAAAAATGGTACAGATGAACTGGTTTGCAGGGCAGAAATTGAGAAACAGATATAGAGAATAAACGTATGGATACTAAGGAGGGAAAGTGGCGGGGTGGGGGTGGTGGTGTGATGAATTGGGAGATTGGGATTGACATGTATACACTAAGATGTATAAAATAGACAACTAATAAGAACCTGCTGTATAAAAGAATTAATAAAATAAAATTCAAAAATAAAAACTAAAAATAGAACTACCATATGACCCAGCAATCCCACTACTGGGCATATACCCTGAGAAAACCATAATTCAAAAAGAGTCATGTACCACAATGTTCATTGCAGCTCTATTTACAATAGCCAGGACATGGAAGCAACCTAAGTGTCCATCAACAGATGAATGGATAAAGAAGATGTGACACATGTATACAATGGAATATTACTCAGCCATAAAAAGAAATGAAATTGAGTTATTTGCAGTGAGGTGGATGGACCTAGAGTATGTCATACAGAGTGAAGTAAGTCAGAAAGAGAAAAATAAATACCGTATGCTAATACATATATATGGAATCTAAAAAAAAAGGTTCTGATGAACCTAGGGACAGGACAGGAATAAAGACGCAGACGTAGAGAATGGACTTGAGGACACGGGGAGGGGGAAGGGTAAACTGGGATGAAGTGAGAGAGTGGCATGGACATATATACACTACCAAACGTAAAATAGATAGCTAGTGGGAAGCAGCCACATAGCACAGGGAGATCAGCTTGGTGCTTTGTGACCACCTAGAGGGGTGTGAGAGGAAGGTGCAAGCAGGAGGGGATATGGGGATATATGTACATGTATAACTGATTCACTTTGTCATACAGCAGAAACTAACACAACATTGTAAAGCAATTATACTCCAATAAAGATGTAAAAAAAAAAAGAACAGAGCTATTAAAAAGAATTAGGTTGATCAGTATGGGCTGATATGAAAAGTTGTTCAAAGATTAGATTAGTTATTTCCTGTAAAGAGCTAGGTTGAAAGGCCTGTTATCTCTTTCTTATTGTTTGAAATTTTCTTTTAATAATGTTATTTTTAATTTCAAAAAGGAGAATAAATTAAGTTGCCAGTTGTAAAGGGTTCAAAAAAAGTTTGGAAGACTACTTGCTAAATGGTTTGTAGCAAGCATTTATATATCAGATTAAAGTTCGACTAATTGGCCTTTGGGATCCACCTATTCTAAAATTTTATGATTTTAATGTCATGTAAACAGAGGAGCATTCACCGTGATTTAATGCATCAGAGGGCCCAAAGGTAATATGGGATGGGCATAAGTCAGTGGTTTAGTCACTGAGATAGGACTCTGACAGTAGTTTTGTCACCAGCAAAGCCCACTGGGGTCCCTGGGAAAAATATGATGGAATCTAGGTGATCGGATAAGGCCTAACCTCTTCTTTTGTGCTTAGTCTAATCTCACTTGCCTTAAGGGGGCCAAGCGCAGAGCCCCTACACCTAACGTGTGGGATTAGAGTTCCCAGCTCAGAACCACTGCACTCAGGACTTCCCTGGTGGCACAGTGGTTAAGAATCCACTTACCAATTCAGGGGACATGGGTTCAAGCCCTGGTCTGGGAAGATCCCACATGCCATGGAGCAACTAAGGCCATGTGCCATAACTACTGAGCCTGCGCTCTAGAGCCCACAAGCCACAACTACTGGGCCGATGTGCCAAGAGTAGCCCCCGCTCGATGCAACTTAGAGAAAGCCTGTGCGCAGCAATCAAGACCCAACGCAGCCAAAAATAAATTAATTAATTAACAACAACAAAAAGAACCGCTGCACTCGACACCCCCACTTGGCGCTCCATATGGAGAAGCGCTGTGCATGACGCCTCAATTAAGATGATGACAGTGAACCGTGTGCAGAGATGCTGCTGCACCCGGCACTGCAGTCGCCCTCCAAGAACGCCGCCCCACTCCGCTGACAAGAACCCTATAAAGCGAGCCCGTAAACAGCTTGTTCAGGAGAGCGAGGACTCTAGAGCGAGAGCTCACACCTCTCCATTCTTTGATCAAAGAATAAACCTTTCCTTTGCTTCTGAACCAAACTGGCTCTCATTCTATTGGCTCCAATAACACCAGGCAGGAGGACTCTTGTTGGACCCCGACTCAAAAGGGTCGGTAACAATAAGATAAGTTGTCAACTTTTCTTTCGCGCTAAGTCTAGTTTCACTTGCCTACAGGGGGCCGTGTGCAGAGGCCTGCACCTAACACCTCGGATTAAAGTTCCCAGCACAGAACCGATGGGCCCAACACCCCAACTTGGCATATCGTGTGGAGAAGCCCTGCGACCAACACTTCAACTCAAGATAGAGGTGGGGTGCCGTGAGCACCCACGAGAATTCCGCCCCTCCCTCCGCAGACTGGAACCCTACGAAGCAGCCTGCCCACAGCCTGTCCGCAGAGTGTGTACTTTAGAGCTTGAGCTCACACCTCTCCATTCTTTAATCAAAGACTAAACTTTCCTTTGCTTCTGAGCCGCACCCAGTCTCACTCCACTGGCACGAGTGACCCCAGGCAGGAAGACCCTTGTGGGGACCCGACTTGAAAGGGTCAGTAATAGTTTCAGAAAAGCAACGAAGATGAAAGTTGGATCAAATGTGATTTTTAAAGTGTGGCTGATAGAAAAATAAAGGTGGAATAAACCATTCACTTCAGAAAAGTAACTGAGAAAGAGAAGAGAAAAAATATGATCGTTTGATGGTTCAAACAAAGATACAGAAAACCATGCATGATTGGAGGAAAACACCAAAAAGAGAGCCATTAGTTATTAAGTCATAAACAAACACTACTTAACATAGCTCAATATTCATGTATCTGTTCATGTATCTATTTTGGTCAAAAATAGTTCTAAAACTCAGTTTTCACCCATTCAGATATGCTACTCTCTCTTTTAGGGTAAAATTTTATGTGAATTACTATGTTTTCCCTAGTACAGAGACGCGTCTTAACATGGAACTTGGTTCAATCTCCCACTCAGTAAAGTAATAAAAAAGCAGCCACCCAGCCACTTCCTAAAATAACTTCATTTAAAAGTTTTTTATTATCAGTATCTAAAGGTCCACAAACATATACATCAAAGTAGCATTATTCTCCTCACCTACTGGGAGGTTCTGGAATTTTCATTTGTTATTCTTTGGTGTTAAATAGGAATAGTCTTTTGTACTACTAAAAATGTCTGCAGATGCAAGAAACATGCATCAGCTATTTAAACGATCATTGATATTTAACTCCAATCAGTATAAAAGTTAATTCATGTCCAAACATAACAAACATAAGCCTTTACCATCTAGGTCTATATCAGTTTACTGAGTCAATATTTTGAAGCTACACAATTTTGTTAAGGACAAAAAGGAGAATTCTCTTTGAAAGATATACTCAACTATATCTTCATCATCGGGTATTTGTGTGGACATACGCATTGGTTTTTCTGCCATGTCAGACTGAAGGAGCTGAAAATAAAGAAACAAAAACCTTTAAAAGATTACTTTAAAAGGCTACATTCCTACAATATAATTTAGATCAATAAGGGAGCCTAGTATAGACATTATCCCTGGTTTTGGCTTTCAGTCCACACTGTTAACCTGTCTTCAATTGTGGCTGCTTTGCTAGACAGGCTTCTATATAATAAATAATACTCAACTTATAATGTACAGTAATACATTTAATCATAAACATATAAAAAGCATCTAAAGAAAGGTAAACTCCCTTTTGAAATCAAAAGGACAAAGAGTATTGTTCTTCTTTAAAGAACTCTCTGGGCTTGAGAAACGGAAACAGGGAATTTTGCTTTTCTTTTTCACTTTTTCTTTAGTGAAGTATAGTTGATTTACAATAGTATATTAATTTTAGGTGTACAGCTAATAGTATATTGCTTTCAGTGATTCAATATTTTTATAAATTATACTCCATTTAAAGTTATTACAAAATAATGTCTATATTTCCCTGTGCTGTACAATATATCTCTGCTGCTTATTTATTTTATAGGTAGTTGTTTGTGGCTCTTAATCCTGTACTCCTATATCACCCCCCTTCCTTCTTAAAAAGTGCTAAAAGAACCAGGAAGACACTTATAATTACTTAACTTTCCAGAGTAGCTTATCAGGGGAGGCTGAGGTGTTAGAGTGTACTTATTGAAGGAGAATTGAGAAAGCAGAGCTTCTAAAACTCTAAACGACTCCCTTAGACAAGGAACTAAATTAATGATAGTTGTCATTTATGAAGCATTGTGCTGAGTGCTGATGTGCTCTATCTCCTTTAGTTCTCATAATAGATATGAGATACATATATTTTCATTGCCATATGCTAAAAGAGAAAATTCAGAATCGAAAAAATTAAGTAACTTACTTGCTCGAGATTTCAGCTATGTGGCAGACACAGGTCTGAACTGATTCCAACGCTGGTGTTCTTTCTACTGTCCCCAGTTCTGGACCAAATATTCACTGTGTTTGCAACAGTTTGGAACAAGGGAGGAGAGGTACAAGAGAGCAAGCTGTGCTGATTTCTAAGCAACACTGCCTGAGAAGGACATGCTATCCTACTTTTGAGTATAACACAAAGATACTGAGACTATGAGGCATGTTTTAAAGGGAAATATTATATATAAGCATAGCAAAGAGAAAAGCAAACAGAATTAAAGAACGGCTCTGTACCATGGTCTTTTCACTTGATCTATCTTGAGGATTATTCCACTTTAGTATATAGATTTACCTCATTTTTTCCCTAATGGTAAATAGTGTTTTCTACTACAGGTAGTGTTTTGTTCTATGGTATGGTTTACTCTAGTCTAGTATATATGAAGGTTCTATACTATTTAGTAGAACAATAATGGTGGGTATTGCAGTGATTTCCGAGCTTTAATTGCAATCCAACAGTAAACACTGAAACCACTGAAAAAGGGTTATTTCTTAACTTCTTATACTTATCCTACTTCAGAATTTGAAGTAAATTACTATAAATTTAAGAGTCTTGTGTTTCAGTTATGCAGATGAAAAAATTCTAGAGATCTAATGTACAACATGGTGACTATAAGTAACAATACTGTATTTTATACTTGAAATTTGCTAAGAGTAGATCTTAAGCATTCTCCTCCCCCCAACACACAAACACACATGCACACAGTGGTAACTATGTGAGGTGATGGATATGTTAGCTTGATTGTGGTAATCATTTCACAGTGTATATGTATATCAAAACATCACATTATGCACCTTAAATATATACAACTTTTATTTGTCAATTATATCTCAGTAACTCTTGAAAAAAAGAGAGGAATTAAAAAAAATAAGTATCTCTGCGTAACTGTTGACTTTTTGGCAAGTCTGCAGAAGATGGTTTGAAAACTAAAGATACAAGTTATCTTATTTTTTAAAACCTAATTAATGGTGGCTTAAACAAATAGGGGTTTACTTCTTTCACATAAATCTAGAGAAGAAGTTTACAAAGTATGGTCCCTGGGCCCCTGGGGATCCCTGACTCTCTTTCAGGGGGCCCGTACGGTCAACTTTTTTTTCTAATAATACTAAGGTAATTTGCTTTTTCCACTGTGTTGACATTTGCACTGATGGGTCAAAAGCAATGGTGGCTAAAACTGCTGCTACTTTAATCAAGGTAGTGAGTACCATAAAGCATTTATACCGTATACAAGTGCGAAAATAAGTTATGTGATTGTGAGAGATAGTAACTCATTTTATGGAACACCAATTTCAACTGCAAAAACAACTGACAAATACTAGTTTTTTAGACTTGGTTATTTCTAAGACAGTTTCTTGAAAATGAATGAAGTGTGCTTTACAGCATGAAGGAAAATAACTGAAAATATATGTTGTAAATGATAAAAATTGAACTTTAAAGTTTTTGGAGAACTTGTATCCACTATCTTGACAACTTCCTAATACTTACAAACTTTCCCAAAAAGATTAGTGATGATATTAACAAACACAAATTTTTATATTGCATAATGAAATACGTCAGCATTAAATAAACTAGGGTTTTCCAACCTCAGCACTATTGACATTTGGAGCTATATAATCCTTTGTTATGCATTGTTAAAATGTTTAGCAGTATCTCTGGCTTCTACCCAGTAGATGTCAGTAGCAACCCCAGCGTGTGACAACCATTGCCACATATTGCCAAATATTTCTAGACATTGCCAAATATTTCCTAGAGGGTAAAATCATACCCATTTAGGACCCACTGAGTTAGGTAACTCAGTAAACAGATATTTTCCAAATGGCCAGTGTGTGACATTACAAAGTCATACATGAGTTCAAGATCCATTTGGAGAGTGAGACAGACTAACAGATTGTGGTGTAAAAACCAAAAGTATATGAATATGGTTTCAGATTCTACATTGCAACTAATCTCATCAAGTTTTGGTGGGGTATCAAAGAAGAATATTCACAATTACAAGAGAAGACTTATTAAAGGATTCTTTTTTCCAACTATGTATCTATATGAAGCCAGATTTTCTTCAGAAACATCAACCAAAACAACATATTTCAAAAGATTAAATGTAGAAACAGATATAAGGATCCAGCTGTCTTTTTTCTCTTTTTATGGTATTAAAAAATACATAACATAAAACTTACCATTTGAAGTTCAGTGGCATTCAGTATATTCACTTTGTTGTGCAGCCATCATCTCCAGAAGTCTTTTCATCTTCTCAAATTGACATTTTGTACTCATTAAACAGTAACTAGACATCTCCATTCCACCTTCAGCCCCTGGCAACAATTGTAATGTCTGTCAATGTCCAAATTTAACTATTCTAGGTACCTCATATAAGTGGAATCATACAGTATTTGACCTTTATTTTTTAACTTTTTATTTTATGTTGGAGTATAGCTGGTTAACAATGTTGTAATAGTTTCAGGTGCACAGCAAAGGGACTCAACCATACATATGTATGTATCCATTCTCCCCCCAACCCCCCTCCCATCCAGGCCGCCACATAACATTGAGCAGTGTTCCCTGTGCTGTACAGTAGGTCCTCGTTGGTTATCCATCTTAAATATAGCAGTGTGTACATGTTGATCCCAAACTCCCTGACTATCCCTTCCCCCCATCCGTCCCCTCTGGTAACCATAAGTTCGTTCTCTAAGTCTGTGAGTCTGTTTCTGTTTTGTAAATATGTTCATTTGTGTCATTTCTTTTTAGATTCCACATATAAGGGATATCATACGATATTTCTCTTTCTCTGTATGATTTACTTCACTCAGTATGAAAATCTCTAGGTCCATCCATGTTGCTGTAAATGGCATTATTTCATTCTTTTTAATGGCTGAGTAGCATTTGACCTTTTGTGACTGAATTATATTACACTTCGCATAATGTCTTCAACGTTCATTCATGTTGTAGCATGTTTCAGAATTTCCTTCCTTTTTAAGGCTGAATGATACTCTATAGTATGTATACATATACTACATTTTGCTTATTCATTCATCTGTCAACAAACACTGGGTTTCTTCCACTTTTTGGCTATTGTGAATAATGCTGTAACACACATGGGGATGCAAATATCTCTTTGAGATCCTGCTTTCAAGTCCTTTGGTGTTATCTACCCAGAAATGGAATTGCTGGATCATATTGTAATTCTATGTTTAATTTTTTGAAAAATTGCCAAACTCTTTTCCACAGCAGCTGTACCATTTTACATTCCCACCAGTAACGCACAAGAGTTCCAATTACTCCACATCATTGCCAACACTTGTACTTAACTGTTTTTTGTAGTAGCTGTCCTAGTGGGTGTGACTTGGTATCCCATGGTTTTGACTTGTATTTCCCTAATGATTAGTGATGCTGAACATCTTTTCATGTGCTTTTTGGTCATTTGCATGCCTTGTTTGAAGAATTGCCTATTCAAGTCCTTTGCTCATTTTAAAATCTGGTTACCTGTTTATTTGTTGTTGACTTAGAGTAGTTTTTTATACATTCTGGATATTAATCCCTTATCAGATACATGATTTGCAAATATTTTCTCCCATTTTGTGGATTGTCATTTCAGTCAATTACTACTGTTCTTTGATGTACAAAAGTGTTAAATATTGAAGTCCAATTTATCCATTTTTTTCTTTTGTTGCCTGTGCTTTTGATGTCATATACAAGAAATAGTTGCCAAGAACAACATCATGAAGCTTCTCTCCTATGTTTTCTTCTAAGAGTTTTATAATTTTACTTCTCACGTTTAGGTTTTTTGATCCATTTTGAATTACTTTTTTTTTTTTTTTTTTTTTTTTTTGCTGTACGCGGGCCTCTCACTGTTGTGGCCTCTCCCGTTGCGGAGCACAGGCTCCGGTCGTGCAGGCTCAGCGGCCATGGCTCACGGGCCCAGCCGCTCCGCAGCATGTGGGATCTTCCCGGACCGGGCAGAACCCGTGTCCCCTGCATCGGCAGGCGGACTCTCAACCACTGCGCCACCAGGGAAGCCCCTGAATTACTTTTTGTATGTGGTGTGTAAGGCTAGGGTCCAATTTTATTCTTTTGCACGTGCATATCCAGTTGTTCCAACACTATTTGTTGAAGTCTCTCCTTTCCCCCATTGAATGCTAGCATTAACAGATGAACATTTGCAACCGATTTTGGTGAAGCCCAATTAAGCAAAATGTTACCCCCTTAAAAGAATTCCATTAGTCTCGGGCTTCCCTGGTGGCACAGTGGTTGAGAGTCCGCCTGCCGATGCAGGGGATACAGGTTCGTGCCCCGGTCCGGGAAGATCCCACATGCAGCGGAGCGGCTGGGCCCGTGAGCCGTGGCCGCTGAGCCTGCGCGTCCGGAGCCTGTGCTCCGCAACGGGAGAGGCCACATCAGTGAGAGGCCCGCGTACCGCAAAAAACACAAAAACAAACAAACAAACAAACAAAAAAGAATTCCATTAGTCTCATCAGTAGACCTGATATATTCAATCATTATTATTGTATTTTTAGTTTCGTCAATATAAAATTCGGGAGGGAGCCGGTATTTCAGGACTGAGGAGAGCGACGGCTTGTGTGGTCACCTAGGGGACCGAGCAGCGACTCACGCGGGAGCTTCTGATTGGCAGGGGCTATGAGGGGTCCTCGGCCCTCTCGGAAGGCGCAGTTCTGCGAGTGCCGGGAGCGGGAGGTCCGGGCCCCCGGGGTCAGCGCGGCCCTGGTGAGAGGCAGGCCCGGGGAAGCGGGTGGGAGTTCCGAGCCCTGCATATGGGAAGCGGTCGGCCCTGGGGGCCGCCGGCGCATGCGTATCGCAGAGCCGAAGCCAGCGCGGCGCGCCCGCCATTGCTTGGAGGCTTTCGTCAGAGCCCGGCTGGCGCCGGCCGCTGGTCCAACCCCAGGGGCCCGTCACTGGGCGTCATTGGCTCAGGCATCAGGGCCCTCATCACCCTCTCCCGCCTGGGTCCGGACGGGCAGCGGCGGCGGCGGTGTCGTCGTCAGGGGGCGGAGCCGGCCTGGGCGCCCTTTGTCTGTGGAGGCGGGTGAGTGCGGCCCCGCGGGCGGCAGGCGAGGGGGCAGGGCGGGCGGCAGCCCCGGGGTCACGGGTCGCGGACGCCGCCCCTCCGGTCGACTCGGAGCCCCCCAGCGGCGCCCTTAGACTTCTTGGATACCCTGTGCCCCTTTGATAGGAAGGCCTCCGCGTTCCAAGATTACAAACCTATTTTCCTCTAATATCTTATGCAATTTATTTTGGAATAGGCGTGGGTGGGTATCATTTTTGGAAAGTTTTCCCCATCTCAAGAGTATTAAAACATTCACCTTTATTTTCTTGTAATACTTTTAAAGGATTTTTTACATAGCTTTTTTTTTTTTTTTACATTTTAACCTACTGGGTATTAATTTTGTGATAACGTGTTAGATAGGAATATGCATGCCTTTTTCCCCGGTGGTCTTGCCATCATCTGTTTTCCCACTGAATCGAAATGACCCTTTTATTCTATTCTACAGGCGTGTGTATACTCGGATCTGTTTCTAGACTGTTTCACGGCCCTCACAGTTTCTGCACTGATACCATTTTGTTTTAATATGTGGCAGAGCAGATTCCCCTAATTGTGTCTTTTAACATAATGAGCTTTCTGTGTCTTTTAGTTATTTTGAATTGTGGGAAATGTAAAAGGTACAAAAGTTACCATTTTCTAAGAGACAGAGTTGACCATGGCACTTAGTAGGTGCTCTTATTAAATGGAGAATTTGTTGAAAGTCACTCTATTGCTGAAAACTTTTATATGCTTCCCTGCTGCCATCAGGATAATGTTTTAGTTTCTTAGCAGTGCCCTCAAAGCCCTTTATGACCTTAATATTGCATACTGCTTGGCCTTCCACCCTTGCACTTTATGCTGTAGCCCTACCAAACCACCCAAACAGGAAACAAAACCCTCTGGGGAAAATTCATTAATTTAATGATATCAAAATTTAAAGTTTTTGTATTTGAAAAGAACAAAGGGCTAAAAATTAGAGATTTGAAGAAAATATTTGCAACATGTGTTAGAGAAAGTGTCTATAATATGTAAAGAGACTTGTTGAAAAAAGAAAAGAGAAAAAAGAAAAGTAGGCAAAGGATATGCACAGGCAATTTATGGAAGATACAGGAAACCAATGAAAAAAGTGCTTAACTTCATAAGTAACCGTAGAATGCAAATGAAGACAGATATTTTTCACCCACTGGACTGGCAAAATATAAAAATATTGGTGATACAAAGTGTTGAGGAAAGTGCAGGGGGGAAGGGCACTGGTTGTACAGTTGAGGAAGTATTTTGGGTGGCAATTTGACTGCATTTACAAAAATGTTAAATGAGCTCACTCTGTGGTTCAGAAATTCTATTCTAAGATCTGTCCTGCAGAAATACTTGCACAGGTGCACAGGGAAGTATGTACAAAGATGTTTATTACAATATTGTTTATAATTTGAGAAATAGGTACAGCTTAAATGTTCACTCTGGATATGGTTAAACATATTGTGATAGACCCATACAGTGGAATATTGTGCTGCTATAAAATAGAATAAGATAGTTTATTATGTAGTTTATTGTGAAGTTAACACACAAAGAAAGATCTCTAAGACATTAGTGAATAAAGGATGTTGCAGAACAATGAATATAGTATGGTGTGCATTATGTTAAGTATGTATGTGGTTATATTATGTATGTTCATAAATACACAGAAAAGGATGCAAACCAAGTGACTGACAATGAGTTACCTCCAGGGAGGGAAGTAGAGTAGAAGAGAAGTTGAAAGGCACACATATTTTACTCTGTGTACACCCATGTTTTGCATACCCATGTTTTTATGTAGAATGTGTAAAAAAAAACCTTGTTAAAGTGTATAATCTGTGTAAGGAAAACAAAACAAAACAAAAACCCTCACACGCACTTAGAACCTATACAGAGAGAAAAAAAAACCCAGGTTTTATAAGGTAAAATTTTTAAATATTAGCTCTTTTAAGAAAGCAGCAAAAATTAAGAGACAAATGATAAAGTGAAGACTATATTTGTTATCTATGTTATGACAGGGGAGTTGCTGGTTACTGTCTGTGTTCAGAGGTCCCCAAACCATACTCAGGTTCAGTGATGTTCTAGAAGTACTTACAGAACTCAGCAAAACTGTTATACTCCCAGTAAGATGAGTATTACAGTGAAAGGATGCAGATTAAAATCAGCAATGAAAAAAAAGCATGTAAGGCAGGGTCCAGGAGAGACCAGGTGCAAGCTTCCAGTTGTCCTCTCTCAATGGACTTGTGCAAGTAGTCCTTAATTCTCTGAGCAATGATGTGTGGCCATATGTATGCAGTACTGCCAACCAGGAAAGCTCATTCAAACCTTGGTGTCCAGAGTATTTATTGGAAGTTGGTCATATAAGCATGGCTGCCCATCCATTTTGCTGACCTCCAGTCTCCAGCTCCTCCAGTGGGCAAGCTGATACCACATGGTCCAAGGTTCCCACCATAAATCCCATTGTTAGCATAAACTTTTTGACCTGTCCCAAGGCCTCAGGTAAACAGAGACACTCTTAACAGACGGGATGTTTCAGGGGCTTATAGGTTATCTACCAGGAGCAAGGCCAGAGTCAAACCTTTCCTTGGAATATGCAGAGTTTGGACCATTCAGACCTGCTAATTTAGTCCTTTATTGCAGACTATGTAATAAAGGACTCTTACAAATCAATAAGAAAAAGACAATATGGTAAAAAAGTGGACAGTTGACACAAAAGGGTAATTTATAAAAGAAAAAATATAAAAGTTAAAAATCCTACCTTATGGGCTTCCCTGGTGGCGCAGTGGTTGAGAGTCCGCCTGCCGATGCAGAGGACATGAGTTCGTGCCCCGGCCCGGGAAGATCCCACATGCCGCAGAGTGGCTAGGCCTGTGAGCCATGGCCGCTGAGCCTGCGCGTCCAGAGCCTGTGCTCCGCAACAGGAGATGCCACAACAGTGAGAGGCCGCGTACCAAAAAAAAAAAAAAAACATCCTACCTTACATGTTATCTAAGAATTGCATATTAAAGCAGCAGTTAAATGCTATTTGTGTATTAGATTTAAAAAGAATAATACCTAACATTGGCTAATGGTCACTATCATATATTGCTGAATATGTAAAATGATACACCTTTCTGAACACCTTTTGCCTTCCTTTTTACCCAGCAGTTCCTCTGCTAGGAATTTATCCTAAGGAAATAGGCAAAATTATGCCAAAACTGTATAATGTTTGCTGTTGTCTGTAACAGCAGAGAAAGAAGGAGAGAGAGAGGACTAAATGTCTATTAATAATAAACTTGTTAAATAAACTTTAGGTATCGCATGCAGTGGAATATACTATGAGCCTATTTTTTTAATGAATATTTAGATTTTTGTTTTCTACCATGAAGTGATGTATACAATATTATCAATTAAAATCCAGGTTTCAAAAAAGAAATAACATGCCATATTATAATGTGCATGAGTGTGTGTGTGTGTTTGTGAAGGAAAAGCCTGCAAGGCTATATCCCGAAAAAGTAATTGGTTATCTCTAGGTGATGACATTATAGGTGATTTTTTTTCTGCTTTTCTGTATTTACTAAAATTTTCATTTTAATATTTGTCAGAAAATAAAGTGAAGGCGTTTCCACAGTAGAGAAGGGGTGTGGAGAAAGATCTCTCTGGCTGCAGTGTGAAGAAAATGTTGGACTAAAGTCAAGGACCAGTTAGATGGGTGTGGCAGTAATCAAAGTGAGAGATGATACCTGAATAAAGGTAGTGGAAGTGAAGATGGAACACTCACTACGTGTTTAAGGAGGGAAATTTACCAGGATTTGACGTTTGATTGGGGAATGAGACTAAGGGAAAGAAAGAGAGGTCAGGAATGGCACTCAGGTTTCAGGTTTGGTAGCACTATTCCTTGAGACAGGGAATATGATAGAGTAAGAGTAATATGTAAAATATATAAATACCGCTAACTAAGTGCTAATATGATCTAAATATTTACAAATATTTAATCCCTTAAGCCTCACAACAAACCCACGAGGTAGGTGGGGATGTCCAGTAAGAGTGTATGTGGTTATATAGCTCAAAAAAGATGATCAATGAAACCGTAGCAATGGGTGAAGCCACCTGAGAGTAAATAGACTACATTCAGCCCTTTGTATTTTCGGCTTCCACATTTATATATTCAACCAACTGCAGATGGAAAATATTTGGGGAAAAAATTCCAGAAAGTTCCAAATAGCAAAACTTGAATTTGCCGTGTGCAGGCAACTGTTTATGTAGCATTTATACTGTATTAGGTATTATAAGTAATGTCATCTAGAGGTGATTTAAAGTATACAGGAGGATATGTATAGTTTATATATAAATACTACACAGCATATTATATAAAGCATTTGAGCTTCCTCAGATCTTGGTATCTGCAGTGGATTCTGGAACCAGTCCCCCAGGGATACCAGGGGACGGCTGTAAAAATAGAAGAGAATGAATACAAACACTAACAAATAAACGTAACTGTAGTACAAATGAATGACATAACCTCACTGAAGGAAGTGGCAAAGAAAAGAACTGACCTAAGTAACTTTAGGAACCACTATCTTGACTGGATACTCTAAGGTTAAAGACAAAGAGAACTCTACGTAAATGCTGTAATCAAGCTAGTAAATGTGTTTCTCACAAGGGTATGAGTTAGTAATTCTGAAACTACTTTGTGTGTATACCAGAATTGAACAAATAAATAAATATATTGTAGATAATGAGAGCCAACAACTTTTCACTGTTGAAGAAAGAAGTTACCAATGAGAAAAGGAAGAAGACCAAAATGAGCCCTGTGGTATTGGATTGGAACCAGAGGTGTCAGTGTGAACTCATGGTATTTAATATATAGACAAACACAATAGAAGTATGTATATGTGTGGTTGATATGCATACATATATACTTCGTAGCTCAGTCTCCTGGAGGGCCTAGAAGCAATGATACACCAGTAGCAAGCAGCACACCTGGTACCCAGATTTTTGTGTCTAAACAC